GTAACTTAATATGTTGACAGTCTTAAGAGATTGTGATGCTAATAAGTGGTACCTGATCAATGATTGTAACTTAATATGTTGACAGTCTTAAGAGATTGTGATGCTATTAAGTGGTACCTACTCAATGATTGTAACTTAATATGTTGACAGTCTTAAGAGATTGTGATGCTAATAAGTGGTGCCTGATCAATGATTGTAACTTAATATGTTGACAGTCTTAAGAGATTGTGATGCTAATAAGTAGTACCTGCTCAATGATTGTAACTTAATATGTTGACAGTCTTAAGAGATTGTGATGCTATTAAGTGGTACCTGATCAATGATTGTAACTTAATATGTTGACAGTCTCAAGAGATTGTGATGCTATTAAGTAGTACCTGATCAATGATTGTAACTTAATATGTTGACAGTCTTAAGAGATTGTGATGCTAATAAGTGGTGCCTGCTCAATGATTGTAACTTAATATGTTGACAGTCTTAAGAGATTGTGATGCTAATAAGTAGTACCTGCTCAATGATTGTAACTTAATATGTTGACAGTCTTAAGAGATTGTGATGCTAATAAGTGGTACCTGCTCAATGATTGTAACTTAATATGTTGACAGTCTTAAGAGATTGTGATGCTATTAAGTAGTACCTGCTCAATGATTGTAACTTAATATGTTGACAGTCTTAAGAGATTGTGATGCTATTGAGTGGTACCTGCTCAATGATTGTAACTTAATATGTTGACAGTCTTAAGAGATTGTGATGCTAATAAGTGGTGCCTGCTCAATGATTGTAACTTAATATGTTGACAGTCTTAAGAGATTGTGATGCTCATAAGTAGTACCTGCTCAATGATTGTAACTTAATATGTTGACAGTCTTAAGAGATTGTGATGCTATTAAGTGGTACCTGCTCAATGATTGTAACTTAATATGTTGACAGTCTTAAGAGATTGTGATGCTAATAAGTAGTACCTGCTCAATGATTGTAACTTAATATGTTGACAGTCTTAAGAGATTGTGATGCTATTGAGTGGTACCTGCTCAATGATTGTAACTTAAATTGTTGACAGTCTTAAGAGATTGTGATGCTAATAAGTGGTGCCTGCTCATTGATTGTAACTTAATATGTTGACAGTCTTAAGAGATTGTGATGCTCATAAGTAGTACCTGCTCAATGATTGTAACTTAATATGTTGACAGTCTTAAGAGATTGTGATGCTATTAAGTGGTACCTGCTCAATGATTGTAACTTAATATGTTGACAGTCTTAAGAGATTGTGATGCTAATAAATAGTGCCTGCTCAATGATTGTAACTTAATATGTTGACAGTCTTAAGAGATTGTGATGCTAATAAATAGTGCCTGCTCAATGATTGTAACTTAATATGTTGACAGTCTTAAGAGATTGTGATGCTATTAAGTGGTACCTGCTCAATGATTGTAACTTAATATGTTGACAGTCTTAAGAGATTGTGATGCTAATAAGTGGTGCCTGATCAATGATTGTAACTTAATATGTTGACAGTCTTAAGAGATTGTGATGCTAATAAGTGGTACCTGCTCAATGATTGTAACTTAATATGTTGACAGTCTTAAGAGATTGTGATGCTATTAAGTAGTACCTGATCAATGATTGTAACTTAATATGTTGACAGTCTCAAGAGATTGTGATGCTCATAAGTAGTACCTGCTCAATGATTGTAACTTAATATGTTGACAGTCTTAAGAGATTGTGATGCTAATAAGTGGTGCCTGCTCAATGATTGTAACTTAATATGTTGACAGTCTTAAGAGATTGTGATGCTAATAAGTAGTACCTGCTCAATGATTGTAACTTAATATGTTGACAGTCTTCAGAGATTGTGATGCTATTAAGTAGTACCTGCTCAATGATTGTAACTTAATATGTTGACAGTCTTAAGAGATTGTGATGCTAATAAGTAGTACCTGCTCATTGATTGTAACTTAATATGTTGACAGTCTTAAGAGATTGTGATGCTAATAAGTAGTACCTGCTCAATGATTGTAACTAAATATGTTGACAGTCTTAAGAGATTGTGATGCTATTAAGTGGTACCTGCTCAATGATTGTAACTTAATATGTTGACAGTCTTAAGAGATTGTGATGCTAATAAGTAGTACCTGCTCAATGATTGTAACTTAATATGTTGACAGTCTTAAGAGATTGTGATGCTATTAAGTAGTACCTGTTCAATGATTGTAACTTAATATGTTGAGTCTTAAGAGATTGTGATGCTAATAAGTAGTACCTGCTCAATGATTGTAACTTAATATGTTGACAGTCTTAAGAGATTGTGATGCTAATAAGTGGTACCTGCTCAATGATTGTAACTTAATATGTTGACAGTCTTAAGAGATTGTGATGCTAATAAATAGTGCCTGCTCAATGATTGTAACTTAATATGTTGACAGTCTTAAGAGATTGTGATGCTATTAAGTGGTACCTGCTCAATGATTGTAACTTAATATTTTGACAGTCTTAAGAGATTGTGATGCTATTAAGTAGTACCTGTTCAATGATTGTAACTTAATATGTTGAGTCGTAAGAGATTGTGATGCTAATAAGTAGTACCTGCTCAATGATTGTAACTTAATATGTTGACAGTCTTAAGAGATTGTGATGCTATTAAGTAGTTCCTGCTCAATGATTGTAACTTAATATTTTGACAGTCTTAAGAGATTGTGATGCTATTAAGTAGTACCTGTTCAATGATTGTAACTTAATATGTTGAGTCGTAAGAGATTGTGATGCTAATAAGTAGTACCTGCTCAATGATTGTAACTTAATATGTTGACAGTCTTAAGAGATTGTGATGCTATTAAGTAGTACCTGCTCAATGATTGTAACTTAATATGTTGACAGTCTTAAAAGATTGTGATGCTAATAAGTGGTGCCTGCTCAATGATTGTAACTTAATATGTTGACAGTCTTAAGAGATTGTGATGCTAATAAGTGGTGCCTGCTCAATGATTGTAACTTAATATGTTGACAGTCTTAAGAGATTGTGATGCTAATAAGTAGTACCTGCTCAATGATTGTAACTTAATATGTTGACAGTCTTAAGAGATTGTGATGCTAATAAGTAGTACCTGCTCAATGATTGTAACTTAATATGTTGACAGTCTTAAGAGATTGTGATGCTATTAAGTAGTACCTGCTCAATGATTGTAACTTAATATGTTGACAGTCTTAAGAGATTGTGATGCTATTGAGTGGTACCTGCTCAATGATTGTAACTTAATATGTTGACAGTCTTAAGAGATTGTGATGCTAATAAGTGGTGCCTGCTCAATGATTGTAACTTAATATGTTGACAGTCTTAGGAGATTGTGATGCTAATAAGTGGTGCCTGCTCAATGATTGTAACTTAATATGTTGACAGTCTTAAGAGATTGTGATGCTAATAAATGGTGCCTGCTCAATGATTGTAACTTAATATGTTGACAGTCTTAAGAGATTGTGATGCTATTAAGTGGTACCTGCTCAATGATTGTAACTTAATATGTTGACAGTCTTAAGAGATTGTGATGCTATTAAGTAGTACCTGCTCAATGATTGTAACTTAATATGTTGACAGTCTAAAGAGATTGTGATGCTAATCAGTAGTACCTGCTCAATGATTGTAACTTAATATGTTGACAGTCTTAAGAGATTGTGATGCTATTAAGTAGTACCTGCTCAATGATTGTAACTTAATATGTTGACAGTCTTAAGAGATTGTGATGCTATTGAGTGGTACCTGCTCAATGATTGTAACTTAATATGTTGACAGTCTTAAGAGATTGTGATGCTATTAAGTAGTACCTGATCAATGATTGTAACTTAATATGTTGACAGTCTTAAGAGATTGTGATGCTATTAAGTGGTACCTGCTCAATGATTGTAACTTAATATGTTGACAGTCTTAAGAGATTGTGATGCTAATAAGTGGTACCTGATCAATGATTGTAACTTAATATGTTGACAGTCTTAAGAGATTGTGATGCTAATAAGTAGTAACTGCTCATTGATTGTAACTTAATATGTTGACAGTCTTAAGAGATTGTGATGCTAATAAGTGGTACCTGCTCAATGATTGTAACTTAATATGTTGACAGTCTTTGAGGTAGTGATGCTAATAAGTTGTTTGTAACTTAATATGTTGACAGTCTTTGAGGTAGTGATGCTGATAAGTGGTTTGTAACATAATATGTTGACAGTCTTTGAGGTAGTGATGCTAATAAGTGGTTTGTAACTTAATATGTTGACAGTCTTAGAGGTAGTGATGCTAATAAGTGGTGCCTGCTCAATAATTGTAACTTAATATGTTGACAGTCTTAGAGGTAGTGATGCTAATAAGTGGTGCCTGCTCAATAATTGTAACTTAATATGTTGACAGTCTTCCATGTAACAGTAAATGTCTCCCTAAAAAACATAGCATTGAAAAAAAGTCCAAGGACAAGTGAACCCTGTTAGTACATATACACTTAATTACCATGCTATACTACAGAAGTCAAGGTCATCAAACAACCTAGTAGTACCCAGCTGTAGTTTTTAAGCAGTTATTGAACCATAACAATGAGGTCAACGACATGTGACATATGCCAGAGAGAAACATCAGACCATTAAAATCGAAATACCAATGTCTTCCTGTGCCAAAAGTTTACATTGACGCCATAGAATAAAAAATCCAATTCTTTTGCAGACAAGACTAAAATGCTGAATCAATCAAGCAGAAGTCCTATGGTCATTTTTTAAATGTTCTAAATGATGAAATTCGATCAATTTTTTTTCTTCCTTCTTTTAAAGGTGTTAAACAGGTGTTCTGCTACAAATCATAAGATTTGTCAAGCTTTAATATATTTGTGTAAACTTCTTTTCTATCTTTCTAAATAATACTTATTTCTTAAATTCATCTGAGTTCATGTAATGGGTTCTTGTTGTTCAATCTTGAGTTGAATGTGTAGTCTGTCCTTCTCCTACTTTCATTTTTTTAATCAACACATACAAAGATTTTTATATCTTTTATTGCTTACAGTCTCAAGAAGTAACATTTATCGATAACAAAAAAATCATTTCACTATAAACAAAAACTGTATAATTTTATAAATCAATTTTCTTGGACGGAATAAATAATCTCTAAACTTTTAACAAATGGTGAAAATATATCCAGAGTTTAAATATTGTTTAACTAAACCAAACCAACCATGCTTATGTTATACATTGGTTTTGAGTGAACAGTAATCTATGTTCAAACCAAGTTTCACAAATACTTTTTTAAAAATATAAAAAATAAAAATATGTCTACATAAATATTAAATATCACAGTCAGGAACAGCAGTATATGATACAACACAATGGAAGAATAAAAAAATATATGTTACCTTTTTCTTAGAAATAAGACACTTATCCATCACAAGAAGTTAAAAATACAATCCTTTAATAAAATAATACATTTCAAGGAGTCAAAATATTCATTTCATTAGATTTGTTTTTATAAAAAATAAGACCTTCGGCATAAAATCAGCAGTAAGGTAAAAAGCAGCGTGACATTTTTTATACTCTTCACATACTCCTGCCATTGTTTCCATAAACAGTTGACCACTATAAAACCCTCTCAATCCACTATTCATTAGTTAGGACCACTCACACTCATGACAAAAGTCTACATCAAAATAAATTAAAAGCATTTATTAAGAACATGCAGCAGTCATAGCAAAAGTAATTTTTGGCTGACTCAAGCATAATATGCCTTAGAAATGCTGTTGTTTAATGAACAAACCTCTATTTTATGTTCATCAATATATTTAAATCTTATCTGAGGTGTTGTAATGAATAAATGAGAACACCACTGAACATCATCTCAACCTTGTAATATCAGTACTTGAACAATTCAGACTCAACCTCAGAATATGCCAGTAAACAGTTGTCATACAAGTACAAAATATAAAACTTCCAATGTTAACACTGTATAACTATGTCTTTTGTCCTTCATGGTATAATCTGGCCTTTTCTTTCTCTGATGGAGTACCATCTGTGACAAATTCTTGAGAAGGCCTACAAATTAAAATTAAAAGGCAAAATTCAGTTAAAAGACTCCTAAGAGCAACGCCAATAGTCAGAATGTTGTCACATTTATAATGCTATACATATAAACAAAACAGGACTTGAATCAAAATACTACAACATAAGGTACTAAAAACAACATTAGATATGCTAGAGGCTCAAAGGAGTCTGAACTTGGTACCAACAACAACATTAGATATGCTAGAGGCTCAAAGGAGTCTGAACTCGGTACCAACTACAACATTAGATATGCTAGAGGCTCTAAGGAGTCTGAACTAGGTACCAACTACAACATGAGATATGCTAGAGGCTCAAAGGAGTCTGAACTTGGTACCAACAACAACATTAGATATGCTAGAGGCCCAAAGGAGTCTGAACTCGGTACCAACTACAACATTAGATATGCTAGAGGCTCAAAGGAGTCTGAACTTGGTACCAACAACAACATTAGATATGCTAGAGGCTCAAAGGAGTCTGAACTCGGTACCAACTACAACATTAGATATGCATGAGGCTCTAGGAGTCTGAACTCCACATCTGGTATTTATCAACAACAACATTAGATATGCTAGAGGCTCAGAGGAGTCTGAACTAGGTAACAACTAAAGGAGTCTGAACTCGGTACCAACACCAACATTAGATATGCATGAGGCTCTAGGAGTCTGAACTCCACATCTGGTATTTATCAACAACAACATTAGATATGCTAGAGGCTCAAAGGAGTCTGAACTAGGTACCAACTACAACATGAGATATGCTAGAGGCTCAAAGGAGTCTGAACTAGGTACCAACTACAACATTATATATGCTAGAGGCTCAAAGGAGTCTGAACTCGGTACCAACTACAACATTAGATATGCTAGAGGCTCAAAGGAGTCTGAACTCGGTACCAACTACAACATTAGATATGCTAAAGGCTCAAAGGAGTCTGAACTAGGTACCAACTACAACATTAGATATGCTAGAGGCTCAAAGGAGTCTGATCTCGGTACCAACTACAACATTAGATATGCTAGAGGCTCAAAGGAGTCTGAACTCGGTACCAACTACAACATTAGATATGCTAAAGGCTCAAAGGAGTCTGAACTAGGTACCAACTACAACATTAGATATGCTAGAGGCTCAAAGGAGTCTGAACACAGTACCAACTACAACATTAGATATGCTAGAGGCTCAAAGGAGTCTGAACTCGGTACCAACAACAACATTAGATATGCTAGAGGCTCAAAGGAGTCTGAACTCGGTACCAACTACAACATTAGATATGCTAGAAGCTCAAAGGAGTCTGAACTCGGTACCAACTACAACATTACATATGCTAGAGGCTCAAAGGAGTCTGAACTCGGTACCAACTACAACATTAGATATGCTAAAGGCTCAAAGGAGTCTGAACTAGGTACCAACTACAACATTAGATATGCTAGAGGCTCAAAGGAGTCTGATCTCGGTACCAACTACAACATTAGATATGCTAGAGGCTCAAAGGAGTCTGAACTCGGTACCAACAACAACATTAGATATGCTAGAGGCTCAAAGGAGTCTGAACTCGGTACCAACTACAACATTAGATATGCTAGAAGCTCAAAGGAGTCTGAACTCCACATCTGGTAATTCTCAACAACAACATTAGATATGCTAGAGGCTCAAAGGAGTCTGAACTCCACATCTGGTATTTATCAACAACAACATTAGATATGCTAGAGGCTCAAAGGAGTCTGAACTCGGTACCAACTACAACAATAGATATGCTAGAGACTCAAAGGAGTCTGAACTTCGCATCTAATACACGATTTAAATATTAACATGGTACTTCGGCAGCTTAAAGTGCCCTTAAATGTGGAAAAAGCTCTTTTTGAAACTTCATCCATCAATTATATATATTAGAGGTGTTCACATACCAAGCCTAAACTGGTTAGTTTGTGTGTTTTCATCAATTAAAACCAATGAAAACTTATTAAGCCCCTTATTGAAATAAAATCTTTTTGGAACACCATGCAGAAACAAAAGCAGAGTAGAAGATTTTTAAAAATTGGCCAATCAGAATCCCTGGTGGCCATGTTTTTCATCCAATTAATACCAAATGAGGGTAATAAGTAGAAGACCTTCCATACATAATTTGGAAAATGTTTGCTAAGAATTTTTTGGAAGAGTTTCTATATATTATTCTTACCAAGTTTATTCCAAACTAGTTTAGTGGTTTCAGACAGGAAGAAAATTTAAATTGTTTAATGATGGTGGGACAGGTGATGACTATAGCTCATATTGCCTTATGGACCAGGTGAGCTAAAAAAAAACCAACACAAACACTATCAAATAACAACATTCATATTTGTCAGATTAGGGTTGAACATCTTCAGGTAATATAATATATCAATAAAAAGTTGGGTCCCCAAGGTTAGAACACAGATACTTGCTTACCTTTTGGATGTGTCAAGTAATGGTTGTAAATCTCCAGGTAATATTAAAGATAGGTTGACTCCCAAGGGTGAGAACTACGATACTGGCTTACCTTTTGGATGTGTCAAGTAATGGTTGTACATCTCCAGGTAATATTGTTAATAGGTCGACTCCCAATGGTGTGAACTACGATACTAGCTTACCTTTTGGATGTGTCAAGTAACGGTTGTACATCTCCAGGTAATATTGTTGATTGGTTGACTCCCAAGGGCGAGAACTAAAATACTAGCTTGCCTGGGTCAGGGTGTGGTTCATGTTGATTGGTAGACTCCCAAGGTTGAGAACTACGATACTAGCTTACCTGGGTCAGGGTGTGGTTCATGTTTATAGGTCGACTTCCAAGGGTGAGAAAAACAATACTAGCTTACCTGGGTCAGGGTGTGGTTCATGTTGATCGGTCAACTCTCAAGGGTGAGAACTACGATACTAGCTTACCTTTTGGATGTGTCAAGTAATGGTTGTACATCTCCAGGTAATATTGTTGATTGGTTGATTCCCAAGGTTGAGAACCATAATACTAGCTTACATGGTTCACGGTGTGGTTCATGTTGATTGGTCGACTCCCAAGGGTGAGAACTACGATACAAGCTTACATGGTTCACGGCGTGGTTCATAATGATTGGTTGACTCCCAATGGTGAGAAATACAATACTAGCTTACCAGGGTCAGGGTGTGGTTCATGTTGATTGGTCGACTCCCAAGGGTGAGAACTAGAATACTAGCTTACCTGGGTCAGGGTGTGGTTCATGTTGATTGGTCAACTCCCAAGGGTGAGAACTACAATACTAGCTTACCTGGGTCAGGGTTTGGTTATGTTAATAGGTCAACTTCCAAGGGTGAGAAATACAATACTAACTTACCTGGGTCAGTGTGTGGTTCATGTTGATTGGTCGACTCCCAAGGGAGAGAAATACAATACAAGCTTATTTGGGTCAGTGTGTCGTTCATGTTGATAGGTCAACTCCCAAGTCTGAGAACTACAATACTAGCTTACCTTTTGGATGTGTCAAGTAATGGTTGTACATCTCAAGGTAATATTGTTGATTGGTCAACTCATAATGGTGAGAACTACAATACTAGCTTACATTTTGGATGTGTCAAGTAATGGTTGTACATCTCCAGGTAATATTGTTGATTGGTCAACTCCCAAGGGTGAGAACTACAATACTAGCTTACTTAGGTCATGGTGTGGTTCATGTTGATTGGGAGACTTTCAAGGGTGAGAACTACGATACTAGCTTACTTGGGTCAGGGTGTGGTTCATGTTGATTGGTCGACTCCCAAGGGTGAGAACTATGATACTAACTTACATGGTTCAGGGTGTGGTTCATGTTGATTGGTCAACTCAAAAGGATGAGAAATACAATACTAGCTTACTTGGGTCAGGGTGTGGTTCATGTTGATTGGTCGATTCCCAAGGGTGAGAACTATTATACTAGCTTACCTGGTTCAGGGTGTGGTTCATGTTGATTGGTTGACTACCAAGGGTGAGAACTATTATACTACCTTACCTGGGTCAGATTGTGGTTCATGTTGATAGGTCGACTCCCAAGGTTGAGAACTAGGATACTAGCTTACCTGGGTCAGATTGTGGTTCATGTTGATTGGTCAACCCCCAAGGGTGAGAACTATTATACTAGCTTACCTGGTTCAGGGTGTTGTTCATGTTGATTGGTTGACTCCCAAGGGTGAGAACTATTACTGTAAATTCAGAAATTATTGCGTGCATTTATTATTGCGATTTTGTCATTTTAGACTAAAATGCGATTTTAATTTTTGCGATATTGTGAAAAATCCTGTTTAATTCATGTACAAAGTTTTAAAATGCGAGTTTAAATTATTGCGATTATAACCCTGTCGCATTTTTCGCAATAATAAAAACATCGCAATAATTTCTGAATTTACAGTATACTAGCTTACCTGGTTCAGGCTGTGGTTCACGTTGATTGGTCAACTCCCAAGGGTGAGAACTATGATACTAGCTTACCTGGTTCAGGGTGTGGTTCATGTTGATTGGTCGACTCCCAAGGGTGAGAACTACAATTCTAGCTTACCTGGGTCAGGGTGTGGTTCATGTTGATTGGTCAACTCCCAAGGGTGAGAACTAAATTTCTAGCTGACTTGGTTCAGGGTGTGGTTCATGTTGATTGGTTGACTCCCAAGGGTGAGAAATACAATGCTAGATTTCTTGGGCCTTGGTGTGGTTCATGTTGCTAGGGATCTTTGGTTTGCTACCTTGTGTTATGTGTACTTTTGTTAAGTCATTTTGTCATTTTTAGTTTTTTGCCATGGCATTGTCAGTTTTTTTTTACTTGTAAGTTTGAATGTCCCTTTGGTATCTTTCGCCTCTCTCTTGTACATCTACAGGTAATATCTTTAATAGGTTGAGTCCCAGGATGAGAAATAGGTAACTAGCACTATCTGGGTGTGTCAAGTAACGGTTGTACATCTACAGGTAATATCTTTAATAGGTTGAGCCCAAGGATGAGAAATAGGTAACTAGCATTATCTGGGTGTGTCAAGTAACAATGGTAAATCTACAGGTAATATCTTTAATAGGTTGAGCCCCAGGATGAGAAATAGGTAACTAGCATTATCTGGGTGTGTCAAGTAACAGTTGTACACCTACAGGTAATATCTTTAATAGGTTGAGCCCCAGGATGAGAAATAGGTAACTAGCATTATCTGGGTGTGTCAAGTAACGTTGTACATCTACAGGTAATATCTTTAATAGGTTGAGCCCAAGGATGAGAATAGGAAACTAGCACTATCTGGGTGTGTCAAGTAACGGTTGTACATCTACAGGTAATATCTTTAATAGGTTGAGCCCAAGGATGAGAAATAGGTAACTAGCACTATCTGGGTGTGTCAAGTAACGGTTGTACATCTACAGGTAATAGCTTTAATAGGTTGAGCCCAAGGATGAGAAATAGGTAACTAGCATTATCTGGGTGTGTCAAGTAACTGTTGTACATCTACAGGTAATATCTTTAATAGGTTGAGCCCAAGGATGAGAAACAGGTAACTAGCATTATCTGGGTGTGTCAAGTAACGGTTGTACATCTAAAGGTAATATCTTTAATAGGTTGAGCCCAAGGATGAGAAAAAGGTAACTACCACTATCTGGGTGTGTCAAGTAACGGTTGTACATCTACAGGTAATATCTTTAATAGGTTGGGTCCCTAGGATAAGAAATAGGAAACTAGCACTATCTGGGTGTGTCAAGTAACTGTTGTACATCTACAGGTAATATCTTTAATAGGTTGAGCCCAAGGATGAGAAATAGGAAACTAGCACTATCTGGGTGTGTCAAGTAACGGTTGTACATCTACAGGTAATATCTTTAATAGGTTGAGCCAAAGGATGAGAAATAGGTAACTAGCATTATCTGGGTGTGTCAAGTAACGGTTATAAATTTACAGGTAATATCCTTGATACATTGGGTCTCAAGGATGAGAACTAGGATAAGAGCTTTCCTTCTGGGTGTCTCAAGTCAGCTTTTCATATACAGGTTGTGTGCCTGATAGGCTAGGTCCACAGGGGGAGAAATAATATACAAACTTACCTAGGGTCAGGTCACAACTGTACATCTACAGGTATTGTTAAAAAGTTGGGTCCATAGGGTGAGAACTAATCCCCAGGGTGAGATCTAAGATACAAATTGATCTAGAGGTCCCCAGGGTCAGAACTAAGATACGAACTTACCTAGATGGTGGGTCAGGTAACGGTTGTACATCTACAGGTATCTAGCTTACCTAGAGGTCCCCAGGATCAGAACTAAGATACAAACTTACCTAAATGGTGGGCCAGGTAACGGTTGTACATCTACAGGTATCTAGCTTACCTAGAGGTCCCCAGGGTCAGAACTAAGATACAAACTTACCTAGATGGTGGGTCAGGTAACGGTTGTACATCTACAGGTATCTAGCTTACCTAGAGGTCCCCAGGGTCAGAACTAAGATACAAACTTACCTAGACGGTGGGTCAGGTAATGGTTGTACATCTACAGGTAAGTCATCTTCTCCTTCAGACATTACTTGGTTTTCTGAAATAAATATAGAAATAATAAGAAAAAACAAATATCAATAGTGATAAAACATATTTTTTATAAGGGTAATGGCTGCAAACTTTTAGTCTGATGCCACTCAGATACGAGGAGACTATATAATACACATAACCTTTCTCCCCTTAAACTGCATGATATCAATAGCTTTCTTAGGACATAAAACTTACCATCAACTGAAAACATGGCAGTGCCACGCCCACTGGGAGCTGATACAGTGTATGAAATATAATCTTTCTCTCCTAAAACTCCCCCGACATTGAGTGGCTGTCCTTGGGCAGGTTGAGGCTGTGGCTGTTGCCTTCCTCTACCAATGTCTGGCTGCAAATAAACAAGTCATTAGTAACATTTCTTTCTTTTAAACAACTAATTTAATAGAACATTAATTGCACTGTCCATATATGAAAAACACTGTATGTTAAATTCTACTAACTTCTATAAAGTTCCTTAATGTATGTACTTTACATATGGAACATGTAATTGCATTGATAATGTCTGCAGTGGTATGTTGATGATAGAATATTCATTTTTTGTACAGCATATTTGTTTTCAAACCTAAAACTTATGTATTAAAGTAATGAGCAAAAACTACTAAAGATGGTGATGTGATACAAATAGCTTATTGAGTAAGATTGTAGCTCATTCTCTTTACATCATTAACCATGATCACACTGACTTATATTTAATCAAACACATCATGGATGACTTATTTTTTACATTATGGTGACATCATTATTGATATGTTGACACAAGATAATATTACACACTATACAGGGCTATGCAGGCCCCTAGAGAGTTAAGTGTCCTCCTCTTTACAGACATATATTATATTTTGTAATTCCTCCATATGAAGTCAATTCAAGCATCTGAGATCAAATAAAAAAGAAACTGCAAAACTATTGTTTTTGCTTAAAAAAAAAGATTTAACATGAGTTGGACTTATTCTAATCACTATTTCATAATATTTTACAGAATATAAAACTATCACTACCGGTACCTTTCTGTTCATGGCAAATTATTTTGGCCCTAGAGGTTCATAATGATAATTGACCAGATGATTAACAGGTGCATATCTAGGGCAATCAGTTGATAATTTGTTTACTGAGACAATATGGTCTATTTTTGATATTAAATTGTATAATTATAAAATATAATTGAAGCCATGAATACATTGTGAATGAAACTGTTTAGGTGATGATCAGCAAGCAGACAACAAAACTTACCTGTATTGTTCCATGTTATCCATTGTTATTACTGGTATAGTCAATAAGAAAAAATATACATGGGAAAAAGTAGCAATAGAAACAAAGCCAGAAGCTGTATTGTGTTGCCAAATGAAATCAAAATACGCATTTTGCGACATTGCTGTTGTAATTTTATGATCAAAATTAACAGGTTTTTTATTACCTCTTCCTTAATTGTATACTTATTATCTAAGATGAACAAAGAAAATGATCACATCATTAAGGATGTATTTAGAAAACTTGACTGCTCACAAGGGTGCAGACAGAAAATGATCACATAATTAAGGAGGTATTCAGAAAACTTAACTGCTCACAAGGGTGCAGACAAAAAAGTATCAATGCTTTCAGACAAAAATAACTTACTATTACAGGTTTCTTGATAGGACTATTTATTTTATTGGTGGGTAATATACCCATGGGTGTATCCACTGCATAACTAACAGCCGCATGATGTAAGGCTGCAGCTTGTCTCTGTAATGTTTGTCTGATGTAGCTCTCATCCTTCAAGGCATGTAAACTGTTAAAATATTATAATATTTGGTTAGTAACAGCAGTGTGGTCAAATGCTTAATAGATTGTCTTGTGTAGATCTCATCCTTCAGGGCATGTTAACTGTCAAAATGAACTTTAAAGTTTGTTTTTTAAAAGTTTTTCAATGAGAATCTTAATGATACAGTTTAATGACCTGTCTGTATGGATAAAACAACAAACAAGAAACATCAATATCCAATATAAACTGTAAATATAGACACAGAGATATGTAATTTTGAAAGCAAAATGCAATTATTTTAATCAAAATAGCAAATCTTTAACATGTAATGCAAAATATGCAACACATTTAAAAATCAATGAACTAAATAATCTCCAAGGAAATGAGATATGCCAATATGATAATATAACTGCATACAACACATCATTGACTTATCACAAGTGGTTTCCCTTAAAATGACCTAATCACAAACTTCAACATGTAAACTATGCAAAAGTTTCAAAGTCAATTAACCATGACTGAGGGGGCAGGGTCAAATAACCTCTATGGAAATGAGAGGTGCTAATGCTACTACAAATGCATACCAAATACTATTGACTAACCGTTATTAGTTCATCTTAAACTGATCTTATCACAACCCTAACATTTCAACTAAAAGTCAATAGACTATGACTGAGGGAGCTAGGTCAGAAATTTCCATGGAAATGATTTGTGTCTAATACTTATAGAATAATGACATATTTGTTTTTGATACTGATCAAGAGAGCTGATGTTGGAGGTGAGGCAGTCAGTATCATAAAACAAAATACCAATGCTGTCTGAAAATGAATAAAACAACAGTTTAAACTTTTGCTATAGCAACACAATAAATAAATAAACAATCCATGATAGAAAGATGTGAAGTAACTCTATTTACAGACTAGCTGAAACTATGTTAATGATCAAATATGTGAATCAATCATCTATGCTATAATGAAGATTGGTAAGCAAGTTAGTGATAATGATATTTATACCTCTGTTGTAATATGGCAAATTTCTTTTCCCAAGTCCTATGTACTCTTTCTATTTCTCTCTTTAATCTGAAATGAATTAAATACAATACAATTGTTCAGTTATAGAGACAAAACAATTAATATTCCTACAATACTATTTCAAAAAGCTAACAGATTTTCTTGTTTAGTAAAGTATAAATCTTAAAACGGATTTCTCAAATTCACACCTTTAAACCCATAAATTAAAGCAGTATTCCATATAAGAATTATACATTTGTATATTCGATTGTAATGTTTACACTTATATGAGTTGTTACAGATGTAGAAGGAAATTATCATCTTATCATTTATTAAAGAAATGACTGTAATATTTTTCTGTCTATGAAGAAATAACATAAAAAATTCGTAAGGGTTCCACGGAACCCAGTGTCTCGCCTACTTTTACTGTTAATCGCAGGCTCAACAAAAATGTGGAACAAAATAAATAAGAATATTCCTCTCTATACTATCTTTTGATTGTAAGTAGCTTCTGTCCAAGTTTGGTAAAAATCCAGGATAATTTATGAATCTAATAAATGTTTTAAATACTTAAACTGCAGACTGTATGTAAAGTTGACTGGAAGAAAAACTAAGTCCATTTATAAGTAAAATACGGAAAAAATGGAACAAAATTTTATCAAAATTTCCTTCTAGATACTAGCTTTTGATCATAAACAAGCTTCTGTCCAAGTGTGGTACAAATCCAGGATAGTTTAAGAAAGTTGTTAAAATTTTAAAAACTTTAACCACAGAGTGAATGTAATGTTAACTGGCAGAAAAACTAAGTCCATTTATAAGTAAAATACGGAAAAAATGGATTTTTTTTTTTACAAAATTTACTTCTGGATACTATCTTATGATCATAAACAAGCTTCTTTCCAAGTTTGGTAGAAATCCAGGATAGTTTAAGAAAGTTATTAAAATTTCAAAAACTTTAACCACAGAGTGAATGTAATGTTTCCTGGCAGAAAAACTAAGTCCATTTATAAGTAAAATACGGAAAAAATGGAATTTTTTTTTTACAAAATTTACTTTTGAATATAATATTATGAACATAAACAAGCTTCTGTCCAAGTTTGGTAGAAATCCAGGATAGTTTAAGAAAGTTATTAAACTTTCAAAAACTTTAACCACAGAGTGAATATTTGTGGACGCCGCCGACGACGACGACGACGCCGACGGAATGTAGGATCGCTATGTCTCGCTTTTTCGACAAAAGTCGAAGGCTCGACAAAAATGTGGTGCACACTTTTAAAATAACCTGCTATGTGGGTTATTCAGTGTGCACCACATTTTTTAGGTTTTTTTGAATAGACAGAAAAAATATTACAGTTAGTCCTTTTAATGTAAAACTAAATCCTATTTTAAAGGAGTAAATCATGACAAAACGTTGATGACATCACTTCGAACAAACTCAAACTTGATCTGTAACATATTATGATATGACTTCATATAAAATGTCAAACCAATGGAATGAAGGTTTACAGAAACTAGAGGCTCTCAAGAGCCTGTGTCGCTCACCTGTATTTACTGATGCTTTGGAAATCATGTAAAATAAGGTTAAAATCATAAATTAATAGTATTAGATATTAGATATTATAATGATATCTAAGATAATAACAAAAAACTGCAAAATTTTTGTAAAATTACTAACTCAGGGGCAGCAACCCAACAACGAGTCGTCGGATTTGTCTGAAAATTTCAGGGCAAATAAATCTAAATCTGATGAACATTTTTGCCACCTGTCAGATTTGCTCTAAATGCTTTAGTTTCAGAGATATAAACCAAAAACTGCATTTTACCCCTATGTTCTATTTTTAGCCATGGCGGCCATCTTGGTTGGTTGGCGGGGTCATGGGACAAAATTTTTAAACTAGATACCCTAATAATGATTATGGCCAAGTATGGTTAAATTTGTATCAGTAGTTTCAGAGAAGAAGATTTTTGTAAAAGATTACAAAAATTTACGAAAAATTGTTAAAAATTGATTATTAAGGGCAATAACTCCTAAAGGGGTCGACTGACAATTTTGGTCATGACAACTTATTTGTAGATCTTACTTTGCTGAACATTATTGCTGTTTACAGTTTATCTCTATCTATAATAATATTCAAGATAACCAAAAACTGCAAAATTTCCTTAAAATTACCAATTCAGGGGCAGCAACCCAACAACAGGTTGTCAGATTTGTCTGAAAATTTCAGGGCAGATAGATCTTGACCTGATAATCAGTTTTACCCTATGTCAGATTTCCTCTAAATGCTTTGGTTTCAGAGATATAAGCCAAAATCTACATTTCACCCCTATGTTCTATTTTTAGCCATGGCGGCCATCTTGGTTGGTTGGCAGGATCATCGGACACATTTTTTAAACTAGATACCCTAATGATGATTGTGGCCAAGTTTGGTTAAATTTGGCCCAGTGGTTTCAGAGGATAAGATTTTTGTAAAAAGCTAACGACGACGACGACTACGGACGACGGACGACGGACGCCAAGTGATGAGAAAAGCTCACTTGACCCTTCGGGTCAGGTGAGCTAAAAATGAGAAAAAATGGATGGACAAACTAATGGACTGACAGATAGAATGCAAACCTTGTCCATTTCAGCTGTCAGTCACTGAACTTGTTATCTATAAATTAATCAAGAACAAGACACAAACTAGAGGCTCTCAAGAGCCTGTGTCGCACACCTGTATTTACTGATGCTTTGGAAATCATGTAAAATAAGGTTAAAATCATAATTAATAGTATTAGATACTAGATATTATTATGATACCTAAGATAATAACAAAAAACTGTAAAATTTCTGTAAAATTACTTACTCAGGGGCAGCAACCCAACAACGGGTTGTCGGATTCGTCTGAAAATTTCAGGGAAGATAAATCTAAATCTGATGAACATTTTTGCCACCTGTCAGATTTGCTCTAAATGCTTTAGTTTCAGAGATATAAACCAAAAACTGCATTTTACCCCTATGTTCTAATTTTAACCAAGTCAGCCATGATGGTTGGTAGGCGGGGTCATCGGACAAATTTTTTAAACTAGATACCCTAATAATGATTATGGCCAAGTATGGTTAAATTTGTCTCAGTAGTTTCAGAGAAGAAGATTTTTGTAAAAGATTACAAAAATTTACGAAAAATTGTTAAAAATTGACTATAAAGGGCAATAACTCCTAAAGGGGTTGACTGACAATTTTGGTCATGACAACTTATTTGTAGATCTTACTTTGCTGAACATTATTGCTGTTTACAGTTTATCTCTATCTATAATAATATTCAAGATAATAACCAAAAACTGCAAAATTTCCTTAAAATTACCAATTCAGGGGCAGCAACCCAACAACAGGTTGTCAGATTTGTCTGAAAAATGATTGGCGGGGTCATCCGACACATTTTTTAAACTAGATACGCTAATGATGATTGTGGCCAAGTTTGGTTAAATTTGGCCCAGTGGTTTCAGAGGAGAAGATTTTTGTAAAAAGCTAACGACGACTGACGACAGACGCCAAGTGATGAGAAAAGCTCACTTGGCCCTTTGGGCCATGTGAGCTAAAAATATTATGTTATATCTACCTCTCTATTTCTTCTTTCAATCTTTTCTCATTCTTTATATACTTATCAATATCTGTGTCCATTTCAGCCTTTTCTTGGTTCTTCTTTCGCTCCTAAAATTCCAAAGATTCTATTACTATCAGTTATTCAAGAAAGAAAGAAAGAAAATTGTCCAGAGTAGTAGACCCTATTGCACATGCTTGAAAGTGTAATATGATATACTGTGAGTTACAATATTACTCAATACATTTATGCAATAACCCTTTTATAATATACCTTAGTGCCCACAAAATATACTGTAATTGTTCATTAATTAAAATCCCTTTCAATGTTGTTGACTCTATTTCTATTTTGCAATGAAGGAAATTAAATGATAGTTTCAAAATACACACATTTTAATAATATAAGTCTTTGTCAGGAATTAGAACATCAAAGGAACTGAAAACCTGTAACATGGTATTGACAAACAGGAATTAGAACATCAAGGAACTGAAAACCTGTCACATGGTATTGTCAAACAGGAATTAGAACATCAAAGGAACTGAAAACCTGTCACATGGAATGTCAAACAGGAATTAGAACACCAAAGGAACTGAAAACCTGTCACATGGTATTGTCAAACAGGAATTAGAACATCAAAGGAGCTGAAAACCTGTCACATGGTATAGTCAAACAGGAATTAGAACATCAAAGGAACTGAAAACCTGTCACATGGTATTGTCAAACAGGAATTAGAACATCAAAGGAGCTGAAAACCTGTCACATGGAATGTCAAACAGGAATTAGAACATCAAAGGAACTGAAAACCTGTCACATGGTATTGTCAAACAGGAATTAGAACATCAAAGGAGCTGAAAACCTGTCACATGGTATTGTCAAACAGGAATTAGAACATCAAAGGAACTGAAAACCTGTCACATGGAATGTCAAACTGGAATTAGAACATCAAAGAAACTGAAAACCTGTCACATGGAATGTCAAACAGGAATTAGAACATCAAAGGAGCTGAAAACCTGTCACATGGAATGTTAAACAGGAATTAGAACATCAAGGAACTGAAAACCTGTCATATGGTATTGCATAAACAGATGAAAGTAATGTCTTCTGAAATTAGTGTACAAGTGCAATATTGTGTTACATTACGAGCTAGGTTTGCTTAGTTTTTCAGATATTCTTATCAAACATTTGGTGATATACTATACCATAAATCTCCTTTTGTTTGAATTCAGATATTACTAACTTCAGCAAGATGTTCCTCCAACATTTTCTTTTGTTTGAATTCAAATATTACTAACCTAAGCAAGCGGTTCCTCCAACAATATTACTAACCTTAGCAAGCTGCTCCTCAATCAATATTACTAACCTTAGCAAGCTGTTCCTCCAACAATTTTTTTTGATCCTGAAGTAACTTGACTTTGTCTTTCTCTGCTGACTGTTGAGCTATAGACTCTCTCTGTGCATTAGCTTCTGCCTGAAATACAACTAATCTTTTAAGTACTGAGCCTAGGGAAAAACAGAACCAGAAACAGAATGTAAACAGAATAATCTAAAATGTACTGTTTTCCTTAATATTTTCATTTTCTGTTGCAGATAGGTTTTATACACAATTTTTCTTTCCCTTACAGTTAGGTTTTATAACATGAAAATGAGGAAAAGGACAATGGACATATGACAAATGGAAACTTCGTAACATAAAGTATCTGCATACAAGGTATGAAGCATCCAGGTCTTCTATCTTCTGAAATTTTAAGCTTTATGTAAATAGTTTATGCCACTGCCGGATAGTAATCCCTATGTCTCACATACTGTGAGAGGACAAAAATTTTGTCATTGAACTTGTTTTTTTGCTACTGGTAACATGTTTCTTTAATATTCCTTTATAAAAATTTTACTATTAGAGTTATCTCCTTTTAAATGGTTAAGTTGAAAAATTGTTTCGAACAAAAAAATAAACAAATATTTGTTTTTTGTTTATAGTGTTTATAATACAACAAGAGTGCACATGCTGAAATGTCTCGCCTTCTTTACTAACCATTGATTTTATGTTGATAGTCCTAAATACAAAGCTTTACTACAAGTAACACATAAACTTAACATGATCCTAGAAAATGAGGTCAAGGTCAGATAAACCAAACAAGAAATACATGTACACCTTACAATCATTCAATAAACCAAACATAGTTGACCTATTGCTTATTGTTTCTAAGAAACAGTCTTAAACATGAAAGCTTAACATTGACCAATGAACCATGAAAATGAGGTCAAGGTCAGATGAACCATGCCAGACAGACATGTACACCTTACAATCAATTTAGGCATTAAATATAGTTGACCTATTGCTTATAGTATCTAAGAAACAAACTTAACCATGAAAACTTAACATTGACCAATGAACCATGAAAATGAGGTCAAGGTCAGATGATACCTGCCAGACAGACATATACAGCTTACAATCCTTCCATACATCAAATATAGTTGATCTATTGCTTATAGTTGAAGAAAAACAGACCAAAACACAAAAACTTCACACTGAGAAATGAACTGTGAAAATGAGGTCAAGGTCAAATAAAACCTGTGAAACTGACATGTACATCATAAAATATTTCCATACACCATTTATAGTTGACCTATTGCATATAGTATTAGAAAAAAAGACCAAAACTCAATAACTTAACTCTGACCACTGAACCATGAAAATGAGGTCAAGGTCAGATGACACCTACCAGTTGGACATGTACACCTTACAATCATTCCATACACCCAATATACTAGACCTATTGCTTATAGTATCTGAGATATGGACTTGACCACCAAAACTTAACCTTGTTCACTGATCCATGAAATGAGGTCGAGGTCAAATGAAAATTGTCTGACGGGCATGAGGACCTTTCAAGGTACGCACATACCAAATATAGTTATCCTATTACTCATAATAAGAAAGAAATTAACATTACAAAAAAAGTTGACTTTTTTTTCAAGTAGTCACTGAACCATGAAAATGAGGTCAAGGAAAATGGACATATAACAGACGGAAACTTTGTTACATAAGGCATCTATATACAAAGTATGAAGCATCCAGGTCTTCTGGCTTCTAAAATATAAAGCTTTTAAGAAGTTAGCTATGCCGCCGCCACCGCCGCCACCGGATCACTATCCCTATGTCGAGCTTTCTGCGACAAAAGTCGCAGGCTCGACAATAAATCACTTATTTTTTTTATTCAAATAAAGTCTTACACATTAATTGCCAATCTATCTCAAATTTTTCTGATCTAAGCAAATAACTACACTGTTTGTGTACTGCTATTTCATATATAATATAAATTATAAACTGGAATATGACAGTTGTTTTCCATTCGCTTGATGTGTTTGAGCTTTTGATTTTGCAATTTTATAAAGGACTTTCCGTTTTATATTTCACTTGGAGGTCGGTATTTTTGTCATTTTACTTTTTACAATCCAAGATGGCAGTATACAGTTAATCTACCTTATGCCATGTTTTCTTTGTTTATTCTTTAACGTTGAAGACTGTTTAATGCCCTCAATCAAATGTAGTTATCTGAATGACATACACCCCATATATCTTTCAGACAGACAGAGAAGACAAATACCATACCTCTTCCTGAGCTTTCTGTAATTTCTGTTGGAACATTCTTTCCATCTCAGCTCTCTGTTTATCCATCTAAAATTTATCAGGTCAAATTATTTTAACTATGATCAGTGATTTGTATTATCAAACTTTGCATCAAAATCCTTTACTTAGGATGAAAAACTGTAAAGTCAGCATTGAAAAAAATGCAATTCCTATATGACATCATTACTATTTACATATCCTTTCGGTGTATAATGTGTTTACCTCACGCATTGCAACATGTTATTGTGAATGTAATTTTGTCCTGTGACATTTTCACTTGTTACTGGATATTATATTTTGAAAGAAGACAGTTATATTAGGTGGTTTTCTGCATGGTGAGTTGCTGACTGATGTTTTTTTTGTCTTTTTTGTTATTGTTTTTTTTTTACTTATTGCTTCCTCCAAAAGATGTATTTATACTTGTATGCAAATTTGTTTGCCATTACTTAAAATCACACAAGTTCCTGCAAAATTTGGCACCACAATTTAAAAAACTTGTAATTTGTGATTGTTTTATCTGCCTTATAGTTGTCTCATATGCATTAAACCCATATTCTTTTATCTTTATAAAGACTTTAGAATTGGTATGAAAAAATATTTACTTAGCACAAGATACAATAAAATCATAAAATTGTCAATATGTTAACAGTTAAAGTCAAGTAACTCTGGATTTACCTATCAGAAATAATTAAAACTGAAAGGACATTGTCTTTATAGAACCAAACATTAGTAAAACATTAGTACCAATCTATTTTTAGAAATTGAGTTTTCATGAGATGTACTCAGATGAACAGTTAACCATATCATTTCTCCTGCTGATGGCCATATAATAAAATGTTTATAATAAATGAACTAGGTGAAATATATGAATATATAAGTTTCCCATTTTCATGCAAGATGAATATATAATTTATAGATAAATATTTAGAGAAGTAATGTTGTGTAATGGACAGGGAGATGTTAATAAATACACTGCAATATCACTGTAGATTAATTCTATCTTTACACCCATGCATCTCATGCAATCACAATATCAAACAAATTGTAACAGTGCTGATTGACCAAGTAAGTCATCTACTCACTGACCAAATAATATTTGAGCAAAATGTTTGGTCTTTTTTTGCCAAATCGTCCTGTGATAAGTCATTTTTAACAATTTTTGAACGCATCTCTAATATGACACCCTATTGATGAAATCAAAGTAAATGGCAACATACAACTTAAAGCTTACATTTGCATTTTCTTAAAGCAATTATTTAGAAGATAATGATACACATTGTCAGGAACATTCAAGTCAAGTTTGGTAACATTTGGGCCAGTATTTCCGGAGGAGAAGATTTGTTTTAAAGTTTACAACCATGCGCAGCAACAACGAACGCCAAGTGATGGCAAAACCTTAAGTGGCCTTTAATGCCAGGTGAGCTAAAAATGTTATATTCTTTCAAATAACCACACACAAGTGAACAGTCCCATCTCAACTCTACAACACCAACATGTCTAATACTACCCATCATGCAATTTTCCTTACTTCATGTTTCAAATTTGTTGCAGAACAATGCAGTTTTTCCATACTAAATAGCATTTTCCATTTAAAGCCGTACAAATTTTGCATACTTTATATAAAATGTAAAAAAATAATACTTCCTTTAAATAAAGATTAAAAAAAAACCAGCCTGCATTGTCAATATAATGTTAAAACTTTACATAAACCTTTTATACTTGCTATACTATGTTTCAAGCAAAGATCAATGCCACCTAACCTTTATAAAGTGGTTTTGTGCATCATCAAAATATTTAAGAGTCTTACTTTTGTGAACTGTCGAATGTCTTTAAATGTCTGTTTTAAAATTCAAAACAACACATAAATGTTGAATTTTCACTCTGACATTAAATCGAAATGTGCAACCTTTGTTTCCAAATATAACTAAATTAAAATACTGAAAAAATATAAATATTATATAACTTGTATCCTTTATCTATGGAAAAACATAATTTCAGAGAGTCAAATGCCAAATATATGCAAGAAAGCACTGCTATTATCCCCAATATACTACTTGCTAGTAAGCTAAAGGCATGGTTCTTCAATATTCTTAGCTAAAATGTTTTCCTGATTTTTCAATTGGATGTAAAAAAAAAAAAAAATGCTATAAGAATATCATAACAAACATAAAGGGCTTTCCCCCTTGAACAAGTTGAAAGAAGATTAATAATGAATCAATACTTGAACAAAATTTACATCAAATCGTAGAAATTACAATATTGGTTTGCTTTATTCTCCACTCTGACAATACATATCACTATGAGATCAGACCTCACTAAATATTTCAGACAAAACCTAACATTTTGTGGCAGACTGGGAAACGGCAATGGAAATGTTAGAGAGTTTACTGTTAGAAGTTAGAAGCTCTGCACAAGAACACAGTTATATACTGATTAGGCATGCAATATAGAAAAATGGGGGAGGAGGCATTTCACTTACTCCATCAGTCTGAAATAATTAATAATTCATAAATTATTCATATAGTTATGTTAATGTTTAGGGATCATCTCAAAAGCTATCAAATGATTTCCAAAATGAACCCCTACATGATAAAAGAAGCTTTCTTGCTTTTTATATGCGAATACAAAAGAAGTACACAAGCTAAACATATAAAGTTTTAAAATTATTATGCATGTCATAGTTACTTCAGGAAATAAAATTTAGCATAAATATCATATACACTTTTTGAGATGACTCCTATAAAGTATATCAAAACAACAACACTCTTGTATCATACTTTCTACAATTAAACTGGAAAGATTGAGCCATACTTTCATAGTTCAACCATGAACACAGTGGTATACATTTTATTACATTTTTTAACCTTCACAACTCTTCATGACTTTACCTACATATTAATACGTATATACTGACTACTAAATGTAATTATCAGCAATTTGTACATTTTCCCTTTGAGCTAAGTGCCTAATATTTTTAAGATCATGGACAGGACTTGATACTCGAAAATATTAGGCAATGACACCATGTATCAGTGCAGCAACATCTCGTGCTCAATTCCATCCGCACTTCAATTCCATACCTGACACAAAAATACATATAGGAGGGAAGGAATGCCCTTTATCGTCAAGCGTCAAACGTCTGTTTTTCGCTACCGTTAGCATCAAATGAGGTACATACATCCTGTAATGGTTGATTATTCTATATGTATTGTGTGTCAGGTACATACATCCTGTAATGGTTGTAATAAGAAAATATTGACCACAAACAACTTTCAGAAGATTTTAACTACTGGAGATCTAAATCAGTTTCCCTATCAGCGTAAAGCTAGTAAAGATATCATACTTAAATACTTTTTCACTGAAGAAAATAAAAACCCATAGCAGATTTCTAAAAACCATTTTTAAATGGCTATCCAGGAAATCTATAAACATGATCATGTACTAAAACGGAACGTTTAATTCTTACCAGTAAAACAACTCTACTGTTAATGGTACTTAAAACGGAACATTTAATTCTTACCAGTAAAACAACTCTACTGTTAATGGTACTAACATTTTACCCCCAGCGGGGTTACACAACTGAGTATTAAAAGGTGTGAGTAAAACATTAGTCACAAACTTTAAACTAGGTAAGTAGCTTGGTTTCTGTGTTAGTTACTTTTGTTACGTTATGATGGAACAGACCTTAAAATCTCATTCTTAGAGCATTGTAAATTGTATTGACAGTACATTTATTACCAAAATATTTATTCACACAAAGTTATTTCTGAAGCTCAGGGGCCATTTTTTTCAAAAAAATAAAAACAATTCTGTTAAGAAGGAATGAAAATAAAAATATTAGTAGTAAACTTTAGCATTATCAAAAGCACACATTTATAAATTGCCCTCTCTGCTTTATTGATAAAATTCATCCTTTTGCAAAATTATTTATGTTGTATGTATGTCCTGATCTTTCCTTTTTTTTTTAAAGAAATTTCATCTTGAAGCCACTCAAGATTTCTGGAACCAGTTGGACCTTTTTTTTATGATAATGAAAACTTTACTTTCAATTTCCTTTTCATTAAAAACATTTATAAAACTGAATAAACCACAGTTTTTGTTAATGACATATAATACAGTAACTGGGGGGTGATAACATTACCAAGAGTAGTCTCAATGCTAAGGGAAAACAATCAATGTTATCCCTAAAATGAACTTGTCCTTTAAGAGTTTAAAAACCAGCACATGCACCCCCAGTTTTTTCTTTGAAGATTGAATTTTCTGAGGTCACTTACTCAATAAAATGAAGTCTGTCATTAAACTTGACTAAGATTGACATGGATATAACAAAATTTATTTTCAGAAAATATGACCATTTATAGAAATAAATTGAGCTGCATCAAACTATTAAGCATACTCCCAAATCAAACATTTATAAATTACCATATCTCTGCTCTATAGAAAATAATCAAATTTTTTCTTGTCAATTTTCGTCTTTATAGTTTTTATATGCGGTGGTAATATTCCTTTTATGGTACTTTTTTCTTATAATATTGAATCGATATTTTTTATCAAATCATCTCATAAAAACTGTTTGCACATTACAAGATAGAAAAAGTCCTTCATTAACAATGTTTAAACATTAAAAGTATTACTTATTTGGCAGACTTTTCGTTTAACAAAGGGACATAATTAATTTACAAGCCAGACTAAATGTGAGAAGTGGCTAAGACTATGGGAAAGTCCAAAACAATTCCTAAATTTTACTCAGTCAACCTTAAAATGACATATGACAAATGTTCAAGACTTTGCAAATTTTATACAGAAGTTCTTGTTAGATATTGTTTTTAACATAAACTGACACAGAGATATATCTCGCCTGTCGGCATAAAATTCAGAAAAAAACAATAGGATGGACAGCAACATTGCTAATTAATTCAAAGATGCTGGACCATGAATTAGTGGGCAGGGCCTTGAAATGGTCAACAAACTGAGATGTACAGACAGTAATGTAACTTTACAGAAAATATAATCGTCTATTATATGTAGTTCCTATCAAACTAACAAAAGCAGAAAACTTCACATTGAAATTGGTAATTAATTGATAGTCACTGGACCATGAACTACTAGGGCAGGGAGTCGAAATAGTTGTCAAACTGATATGTACTAAGAGTAATGCAACTTTATAGGAAATATCATTGATCTACCACAAGTAGTTCCTATCAAACTGACTTAAGCAGAAAACTAAACTTGAACATTGCTACTGTAATGAATTCAAAGTCACTGGACCATGACCTAGGGGGCAGGGCCTCAAAATATTTGTCAAACTGATATGTACCTGTAGTAATGCAGCATTAAAGAAAATATCATTGATCTATCACAATAAGTTCCTATTTAAATAACTTAAGCAGATAACTTAACATTGAAAATAGCTTATTAATACAAAGTCACTAGACCATGACCTAGGGGGCAGGGCCTCAATATAGTCATCAAACTGATATGTACTGATACTTATGCAACTTCATACAAAATATCATTGATCTATCACAAGTAGTTCTTATCAAACTAACTTTCACAGAAAACTTACAATTGTTGACACCAACAACGACAACAAGGACTACATCATCGTCTAACAAAAAGCAATACCTATGTCTCGCCCTGATGCAACTTTCGTTGCAGGTGAGACAAAAATTGGAAAATATGACCATTTTTCACTTTTAAAATATGATTGTATTTTGTCAAACTGTTAAGCATTCTTCAAAAATCAAACATTCATAAATTACCAGTTCTCTGCTCTACAGAAAATAATAAAATATTTGCTAGTCAAATTTTTCTCTATACATTCTTTTTTTTCTATTTGCAGTTATAATATTTCTTCTAAAGTATTTTTTTCTTCTTCTTGTTACATTAAAATAATACTTATTGTCATATAATTTCATTTAAATTCTTTACGTATTAAAGAATCAAAACAAAGTGTTAAAAAAATTAAAAGTATTGTTTATTTTCCAGTTTTATTAGTTCAACTAAGGGACATAATCCATTGACAAACAAAACTAAGATGAGACAAGGTTAGAATTCACAAAACAAATATTTACCAACTCTCTGCTCTAAATGACAAAAAAAAAATTCATGATTCAGGATTATCTCAATGGCATACTGAAGTTATATCTCCTCCAATAAACAGTACGCTTAGTACATTGTATTAATACTGATTACAACAACAACTCTACTGATAAATACACCTATATGTAAGTGTTATGAAATATTCTTTAAAAATAGACCTTTTTTGTTATTATTTTTCTAACAATATTGAATACATATGAATCAATCATAGGTATAAAAGTAATATTGTAAATTGATATCACTGGTGTGATATTGTTATAGTTGATAACATTAACAGACATGTATAACTGGTGTGATATTGTTATAATTGATAACATGAACAGACATGTATAACTGGTGTGATATTGTTATAATTGATAACATGAACAGACATGTATAACTGGTGTGATATTGTTATAAATGTCGTGAATGATTGATAACATTAAGAGACTTGTATAACTGGTGTGATATTGTTATAATTGATAACATTAACAGACATGTATAACTGGTGTGATATTGTTATAATTGATAACATTAACAGACATGTATAACTGGTGTGATATTGTTATAATTGATAACATTAACAGACATGTATAACTGGTGTGACTAAATAATAACATTAACATTGCTATAACTGCCAGAACTGAACAACAACCATAAGATATACTTACTAGTTTCTCTGAAGATGCTTTTTCATTTTCTGCTGCCTTCTTGGTATTCTCAAGGTCTTTGTTAATCTAAAATTCAGTCAAAAATATTAGTTCAATGTTTAATTCTGATTTAAAGCAGACCATCTATCTTTAACCTGAAATCTGTGCCAAATATCAAGAATGATTACTCTCTAAAACAAAAAAAGACATTCTCCTCAAGTTTGGTAGCTATTGGCACATTACAAATGTTATAGCCTATTTTGAAAAGTTGGAAATTGTCCAATTGGAACCAGAATTTGCTTCTGTTGCTGTATTTTTTCACCATAACCTTCTATTCGTTATTCCTGCCAAGTTTTCTTAAGATTGACCAAGTATTTTCATAAATAAATACTATTTCCCATAGGGTTCAATGAAAATATACCAATAACCATATGTGGTATTCTTGCCCATCATACAGGTACAAAAAACAACTGACCAATTAGAATCATGAATAGCTATGTTTTTGCTTGATAACAAAAAAATGAGAAATTTTTATTGAAAAAAGAAATTTAATCATTATTTGTTCCTATTTTGCACCTGATTGGCCAAGTAGTTTCAGAGACATTGTAGCATGATTTTCAACAGAGTTTATGACACTCGATGAGCACAAAATGATAAATCTATGAAGAATAATTCTTCTAACAGGTTTTCAAGATTTGGCTTCTAAATTCAAAGAGAAAAGATAATCAATAATTTCTGTACAAAACATTGCCTCTAGCAGCCATTTTCTTTTAACTTATCAGTGCTTAATGATATTATCTATAAAACACCTTTCAACCATCATTCCTACCAATTTTGGTCCAGTAATTATAAGAAATGTGAAAAGTCAATGGACAAGAGAAGGCCGATGCAAAGAGAACACAATAACTCACATTGGCTCTTTATCCCAGCTAAACAGTCAACGAAAGAGAACACAATAACTCACATTGGCTCTTTATCCCAGCTAAACAGTCAACGAACAATATATTGCAGATCCCATATGATGGCAATACCTCACACTGGCCCTTAAGGGGAACTAAACAATTCCTATTATTTCATCAAAGCACGACCTTTCATTTTTTACTGCCAAGTTTCAAGAAGATGAAAATGCAAAAAAGATATTACCAAAACATAAGGACTGACGACAAGAAATGAAGCTTTTGGACCAAAATAAGCATCAATTTGGGTTATTTAAATCAATAAAAAATTGAGTTCCAGGCTTTAATATAATAAAATTTCATTCTGTGCTTATCATTTTAAAATCCAACATCTTGCGCAATACTTAACAGATGGTTTTGGCTTTATTTTATATAAATTGTGAATATTTCTAAGATGAATGTATGATAATACTGGATATAAAAAAAACAAAAAATCATACACCAAACAAAATCACTAAAACTAATAGCACTTGGTTAAGTTAAATATTATAAACATATTCTAAAAATAACCTATTTTAAAACAAAATATTCATAGAAGGAATATAAAACTCTATCTAAATATAAGAGATAAAACCAAATTCCAATACTGAAAGTACTATATAAACTCTATGTAATATGAACTTTTTCAAACCAACCCCTTCAGGACTAAATATTTAGTTTGGATTAGACAGATTCATAAAGATTAAATAGAAGAGTCACTTTGATATACGAGTTCAGACAAGGGGCTGGGTTTATGCAGGGAGTGGTTATATAAGCTTTACTAATTTCAACTTAAATTGTTTCCCTACAATTTACCTTCCTTCTATGGTGTATAAGCTTAACAGAAGAAATAATATATTACATATAGAGTTCTATATAACTAAGTATAACAAATCATTTATTACACAGATTACTATAAGAGGTTGTCATTTAAATTTCAACATTTGTATTATTCTCTCACGATTACACACTGGCTAGACATATCTCTGTGTCAACAGTTAAATCTGTGGTCATAAACTTGGCTTTTTACTAATTTGTAGACTTTGTTTTATTTATGTTCATGAAATGAGATAAGTCAATATGATCTTATATAATAGTATGGCTGAGGAAAAAAATGGGAGATTACACAATTTATGTGCTGATTTATTTATTCAATGTAAACTCAATTTGCCCACTAACTACTATTTTGTGTGTTTTATAATAAAATTGGAAAAAAAAAACCAAAGATGGACATATCAATTTTGGGGGTAAAAAACTATCAGCAATATGCTTTAAATACAAAATGAAGTCATGTTCTTATTTCTAATTCAAGCATCTTATCCTGGTGGAAAATTGGTTGATCTTCATGTTCTGTTGTACAAGAATTACATATATGCTTTATTTTATACTGGTACCTTATCAGACTTTATCTTTTCTTGGTCAAGCTCCTGATTCAGTGTTTCTATTTGTTGATCTGAATTGTTTAAAATAAAATTCAAAATATTACAGTAAAACTAATTATAATTGCAATTATAAGTAATTGTGTGTTCCTCACAAAGATTTTGTTGTTATAATCTTAAACTTTTCCTCATTTCTTATTTGATGTTACCTGAACATCCATCTCATTATGGTCTAAATGTTTACATTAAATTCTAATAACTAACATTTATAACGCACGTCTGGCGCAGAAAATTTTAATCCTGGTATCTATGATGAGTTTATATTATAAGCTATTTTGACTTATCCTCAATTTACTGAACAACCTTAAAGATTCCTATTTAGTGTAGTTGGATTGCTGTCTTGTAATGTAAAAGTATAGTCTTAGATACATGATTTTTTTTGTAAGTTGCTATTAGCTTTGAACTAGCTGTCAGTAACTCAAACTGCAAGTACACTCAGATCTGTACTTTGTGCCTTTTTAGTTGTGGGGGATGTACAAATATCCTGCCACGTCCGGTCTGTGTTTTTGTTAGATGTTTTTTTCTGCTTTGTATTGATCTGATGAGTTAAGCCATTTTCAACTGATTTTTATAGTTTGTTCTTTATGTCGTACTGTTACACCACTGTCCAAGGTTAGGGGGAGGGTTTGGTGCCAGCAAACATGTTAAACTCCTCCACATTCTGTATGTGCCTGTCCCAAGTCAGGAGCCTGTAATTCATTGGTTGTCATTTTTTATTGTATACCATATTTGTTTTGAACATAAATTAGGCCATCATTTTTCTCGTTTGAATTGTTTTACATTTGTCATTTCCGGCCTTTTATAGCTTACTATGCGGTATGGGTTTTGCTCATTGTTGAAGGTCGTACTGTGACCTATAGTTGACTTCTACGTCATTTGGTCTCTGGTGGAGAGTTGTCTCATTGGCAATCATACCACATCTTCTTATTTTTATTTATACCCCACATTAATTTTCATAATACCCTACTTCTTATTTTTATATCTACCCCACATTAATATTCATATAACATTATACACCTATTGACTGGTTATGAGGGTAATAGCAAGTTTGTTGTCCCTGAGATACCAACTATTGCTGGAGGCGAAGCTGAGGGCAATAGTTAGTATCAAAGGGACAACAAACTTGCTATTACACTCATAATCAGTCATTAAGTGTTTTATTATACCAAACAAAACAACTTTCTAAAAAGACTACATGTATACACCACTTGGAAAAACACCAAATAGTCACATAGACATGCACAAGATGAACTATCAGGTTGTTTTTTTTTTGCCTGTGTGGTGTTTGTCAATATTTTAATTACTGTAATCAAGACCAGGAATCCTTGTGTAAAAATTCCTGTGCATATAATAAACGCTAGCTAAAATATTTTACCATACACCAAAGCAATCCCAGATTATGAAGACGACGACATACCCATACCATAAATTTGTTATGTTTTAGTTCTTAAAATACGTCGCACAGACTTTCTTTTTCTTTTTTAATTGCTTTTAGTAAGTAATATATAAATTTGAAATTACGACAACAAACACATACAGATTATACTGTTTACAATATGTCAGAGTTTAACGTTGCCAAGCGCACAAATCCAAGAAGACTAAACTATGACGTCATTGTTGTCTAATGAAAAATCAGTATGAAAAAGTACGGGAAATATGTTTATAAAACTATTGACCGGGGTAATAGTCTTTAGAGGGAGGGTTGGGATCCAACTAACATGTTTAACCCCGCCACATTCTGTATGTATGTGCCTGTCCCAAGTCAGGAGCCTGTAATTCAGTGGTTGTCGTTTGTTTATATGTTACATATTTGTTATTCGTTCATTTTTGTACATAAATTAGGCTGTTAGTTTTCTCGTTTGAATTGTTTTACATTGTCATTTCAGGGCCTTTTATGGCTGACTGTGCGGTATGGGCTTTGCTCATTGTTGAAGGCCGTACAGTGACCTATAATTGTTAATTTCTGTGTCATTTGGTCTCTTGTGGAGAGTTGTCTCATTGGCAATCATACCACATCTTTTTTTATATATTTGAAACTAATGACTGACAAATAGTCTGTGGAATGAAATAGCACAAATATTTCATTTTTTTTTTAAATAGAAAAAACATATTGAGGTATAATAAAACTTCTTACTTTAATGTATACTCCACATTAATATTCATATTACCCAACTTCTTACTTTAATGTATACTCCACATTAATATTCATATTACCTAACTTCTTATTTTCATCATCTTTGGAATCTACTTGGTCCTGTAGATTATTGACCTTGACATTTAGATCTTCGACCTCTACCCTCAAGTCCTCTAACTCTTGATTGAATTGTGGCGATGGGGTTCTCATAGACACAGACTCAATCTGTAAAATACAATCAATAAAATTCAGATATTATCTGAGGAGGACCCCCCTTATAGATCTATATATATGATAAATGCATAGAATTTTTACAAGTACCACTCCAAACATTGGCCTACTATGGGGCCCCTCTTTTCAAAATCTTGGATCAGCAACTGATAAAAATAAATATACAAAAATAACTACAATATTTTTTTTTACTTACTAGTTAGGTAGTTTACATTGTATAAAAATATGAAAAATTTCTTCATCTTCTATTATATGCATTTCCTATTAGTCAATCACATTATTCAAAGAATGAAATCAATTTGATGTATAGAACTTTTATATGGTTAATTATTTGTTTTCTTCTATGATTAAAACGAAATTTCTACTAGAAAAAATAAACATCCCTAACTTTGCTTGCCATTCACAGCATATAAATAGTTTCCTTATTGTATTTTAAAAAATTTTCACAAAATTTTATGAAAACAATGATATCAAACATTCATAGGAGACAAGAAATATTGCTAGTTACTACTACAAAAACATACAATTCTTCACTGAAATAATATATAACCAAGTGTCAAAAAGATACTTCAAAATCCACTTCACAACTTAAAAGCAGCATGATAACAACAGACAAAGACAATGAATGATTAAGACTTATCTATTATCAAATTTTACTTACTCACTCTACCGGTACCTATTCTATGAGAAATATCATTTACCGGTACATGGCAAAACTCTTTTTATAGCATTAAAACAACATTTATTCAAATTAAATGAAACTGAATAAAAGAACAGAGTTCTAATGTCCCCTGCATTGCACATATCTTATCTATCCAAGGGCAATAACTAAAAACCATGGTTTTTGTTTTGTTTCTTAAAACTTTTTATAAATATCTTAGAGAAATGTAGGCTTGAGAGCAAATAAAATGCAATTTCCAATATAATTAATATTTCCAAGGGACAGAACTCTTTTACATTTATTGGATCGGCACTGATTTTCAAATTTGTCCGAGACATTGCTGATATAAATCTTTGAAATAAATTTGATAAAAAATTGACAAGAATAGTACACATGAGAGCGCTAACAATGAAATTTTCCATAAAATTAATATTTCCAAGGGTCATAACTTTTTGAAAATAATTGATCGGGACTGGGAATGATTTTCGAATTTTTCTGAGAAATTACTGATATAATCCTATGATATAATTTTCATGAAAATCTGGCAAGAATTGTACACATGAAAGCGCTAACAATGAATTTTCCATACAATTATTATTTCAAAGGAGCATAGCTCGTTTAAAAATAGTTGATAGCCACTGATTTTCGAACTTGTCCAAGACATTGCTGATATAAACCTATGATATAAGTTTTCTAAAAATCTGGCAAGAAAATGTACACATGAGAGAGCTAACAAGACCAGACGGACAGACGGACCCCCATTATTTATATGTCCCCCGCAATGCGTCGCACAGGGAACAAAAAAACAAATAAATACAAAAAACTAATGGTGAGACAATGAATGACAGCCAACACTACATACCACATCATCCTGAAATAAATCAAAAAATGTTAGATACATTTCAGTATAGGTTCAGCTGAGGTTTCACTCTATACCAGTTACCGTCACCTTGCATTTGATGCAATAACAGAGGTGTTGCATAAATACAGCATACTGCTATTGTCTTCATAAAAAATACTTTTATCTTATTTTTATAAACTTGGTTTTGTTTCATGCAATCAAGACTGGGAATTCTTGATTTTTTTTTCATTCACCACATCGTGGGAAGATACGCGTGCAGGGACATAAGGTCATCACTTCATGACACCCTCGATTTTAGAAAACTGACTGTTTTCAGATAAAGTAATAGCAAAGCTTTCATTGGACATAAAATTTCCTTAAAAAAAAGTTTATTAATTTAAAAATCACTTTCTATGAATTCCTTCCATATTCAAACTGATTAAATTAAAAAGGTTTTGGAAAAAAAAACCACAAAGCTATCAGTATGTTGTTTAAATAAGCACAAGAGCATGTGCGCATAGGTTTGAAACTTAACTTTGCATTTAAAAATCAGTTATTTTAGGTTTGTCTCCAAATACTAACTTAAATAAGAACTCAAACTGAAATATTTAAACTAAAGGATGCTTGACAAAAATGTCTTGATTTCAGATTTCACATATCAATAACCAGAAAACAAGTGTTTTTTTTAAAGACAAAAGTTAAACTTTCTAATCAGAGTGTAATTGCATTAATAAAGTGTACAAACTGATCACCATTTAAATTATACATTTCAAAGGATGCAATGAATATCAGTTAACAGAACCTGCATTAAGGTAACCTTGGTTTGCTTAAATATGTTAAATGTCTTCAGTTATTAAGAGGGAAAAAACAATAAAACAAAAACAGGATAAAAAATAAGTCCGGAGTGATCAATTTTTTTGGGGGGAAAACTGGCATTTAGATTCAATTTTCTTCAAGTTATCTTTTTCAACTTACCAGAAAATTGACATTTTAATGTATCAATCACTTTTCATTTGTCCTAAATATGAGACATGATGAAAATAATAATTCCTATGTTTATTTTAATAATACTTAGTACAAACATGATTAACTGATAAAAGTTGATCAACAAAGTGAAACCTCTGGCTGATATATTAGTAGGAAATTCCCTTGACCAGCTGACTACCTTAGTTTCTGGAGTTACAGCTTTAGGGAAAGATTTTTCTCTCTGAAATCACAACTGAATTAGTTCTAACTACTACAAATACAGTTAATCAAATTATACCATTGAAAAACAAATTTAATTTAAATCCTAATCTGATGAAATCTTAACTACTACACTAACCAATCAAAACAAAGGAATTTGTTCCATCAAGAAATATTATGTCAGGTATATGTCAAGAAAAAATAGTTGCTTTCTTTTCTTGTCTTCATTAAAACCAAGCAAATTTGCTGTATGTTTCTTCCGTGTATTTTGTACTAATTTCAAAAATAAACAAAATAAACAAACAAAACACACACACACAAATATAAAGCTAGCCTGGGGACACTGAATATTTTGTGTCTACTTATAACTGTTTGTCTTGTATCAGCAAACTGCTGAGTCTGATTAAGATTGGACTTCACTGTTCTACAGAAATCTTCTCTTCTTTTTATCTGGTGTTTAAATCTTTTTGGATCCTTTTCAGAAATAAAGGCATAAATCCCCACTTATACAGCTGGACTTTAGGGGAGGTATTCTCCAAAATAAATTATCAATGGGTCCAATGGCCAAAGATATGTTTACAGGAACAGTATTTATATCTTATCTGTAATCAATTATTAAATAACTAAACATAAAATTAACATTTATAAAAAAATATATATGTTTTTAGAAATGGGGGCAATTTTGGTTGATGGTCAGAAACAGAAGTAAAATGTTGATAGCTCGTACTGGTGAGCTAAATGAGCTAAAAAAGATTGTCTAATGTTACCATACACATCATAATTAGATGTATTTAAATGAAAAACTTAAAAAGAATAGATTGTTCTGAAAAGATCAGAACTAAATTTACATAGTCTGTATTAAAACACATTATCATATAATTTAGATTGGTCTAATTGTCAAACACTGATTTGACCTGGACTATATATTCTACAATTCTAATCCTTGATAAGACTCCCTGATTATATATAAAATCAAACGTTCATTCTGAAGGAACAATGAAAACACAACAATATTATTAGTAAAATACATCCAAGAAAAACACAAACATGTACCATACCAACACACAAACACACATATGTTTATTACCATATTGACATATGCTGTTTATTCACAACTTACTGTATATGTAAAAGTGCATATTATTTGGAATAAAGACAGAATCCACTCATCAATATATAAGGATCAACAATTAACATTCCCATATGACTGTGTTAATCACAATGTTATAACTTGGTTTTAATAAACAACACATAAAAAGCCATTTAAATCCCCTCAGAATCAAATATTACACAGAAAACCAACTACCCAATTATTTCCTGATACCATCCTTTGGCAAAGAAGATAGTAGAAATCCCATAAACCAGATATAGAACTTTCTGTCAAGGACCATTATACCTGCACAGCAAAGTTAGTCACGTCACACATCTTACCGCTGGTTCCGGGGGTGGTTGGGGCTTGGATTTTTTAGGTTTCTTTGTCTCCATTGGAGGAGGAGGTGGTGGGAGGTTAGGCGGTGGTGCCAGTGGTGATTTAGATTTTTGTGAAATCTAAAAAAAAGTAACATTAGTCAACTTGTGAAAAAAACATGTAACACAAAATGTGATATGAACAAGGACTTTCCTTAAAAATGTGAATCAAACGTGAAATTATGTATAAATGTGAATGAAATGTGAAGATGATGAGAAATAACTGAAACATTGAATTTTAGCATTTGAAGATAATCAACCAGTTTTAACGATATTTATTAAATCTCATCACAACTTCCATAAAGATATTTCATTATTTCAATGTAGCAAAGAAATATTCAAAATTTAAAACTGAATAACTTAATCGAAACATATATCCATCAAAAGCTGTGGTACATTATTCAATAATAGGCAACTTTCATTTAACAGCTTGTTTCAAACCTAACATACTCCTTTTATGTTGTTAACAATCCCATTAGTCCACGTTATGATGATATGACATATAGGTTGTAAATAGAGATGTGTAGGTTCTGATGTAGAAAAAATACTTAATTTACACTCAACAGAAATTCAATAAGGTTGAAAATCAAAAGTACATGTTCTGTAAGAAAAAAATCCTCTAAAATATGGGAAAATCACTATATATCTGAGGAAGAATTGTGTTATTGTTGTTCTTCATCTTAACTGTTACTGATAGGGCTTCAAACTAGACAGCATGTCCCCTAATAACTAAGTTAATCATAAGAAATACTACATCTTAAACCAAAAACTATTTTTATAATTATATTATTCAATAGGAAAAAAATTCCACCAAATAAATTTTCTACATTATTTAATTCAAACCTCAAATAATTCCTTTAGACAGAAAGTATTCAACGACTGCAATGAAACAATTTATATTAACATCATTGGGTACTACTGACTCTTATTATCAACCATGATAAAAACAGTTCTTTAAGTATTATAAACTGTAATGAACAGTATCATCTAGGTGATAACCTATAAGCACTATCGTCCATCATCTAACAGTTATAATCTATACTATGCTCTGTACCTGTATTTTATATGTACAATAAAAATAAAATATGGTCAAGAATTAAATGTCCAATGGAATGTACATTGGCTTTAGTCTTCAGGTCAGTGGAATTTTAAATATTATTTATGGAAGATGTAAGCTTAAGTATAAGTTTGTATAGGTACATGATATTTTCCAGAGAATGCTTGGCTTATTTAACATATTTTCCAGAGAATGCTTGGCTTATTTAACATATTTTCCAGAGAATGCTTGGCTTATTTAACATATTTTTCAGAGAATGCTTGGCTTATTTAACATTTGCCAGAGAATGCTTGGCTTATTTAACATATTTTCCAGAGAATGCTTGGCTTATTTAACATATTTTCCAGAGAATACTTGGCTTATTTAACATATTTTCCAGAGAATGCTTGGCTTATTTAAAATTTGCCAGAGAATGCTTGGCTTATTTAACATTTGCCAGAGAATGCTTGGTGTATTTAACATATTTGCCAGAGAATGCTTGGTGTATTTAACATATTTTCCAGAGAATGCTTGGCATATCTAACATTTGCCAGAGAATGCTTGGCTTATTTAACATATTTTCCAGAGAATACTTGGCTTATTTAACATATTTTCCAGAGAATGCTTGGCTTATTTAAAATTTGCCAGAGAATGCTTGGCTTATTTAACATTTGCCAGAGAATGCTTGGCTTATTTAACATTTGCCAGAGAATGCTTGGCTTATTTAACATTTGCCAGAGAATGCTTGGCTTATTTAACATATTTTCCAGAGAATGCTTGGCTTATTTAACATATTTTCCAGAGAATGCTTGGCTTATTTAACATTTTTTCCCATAGAATGCTTGGCTTATTTAACATTTGCCAGAGAATGCTTGGCTTATTTAACATTTGCCAGAGAATGCTTGGCTTATTTAACATTTGCCAGAGAATGCTTGGCTTATTTAACATTTGCCAGAGAATGCTTGGCTTATTTAACATATTTTCCAGAGAATGCTTGGCTTATTTAACATATTTTCAAGAGAATGCTTAGCTTATTTAACATTTTTTCCAGAGAATGCTTGGCTTATTTAACATATTTTCCAGAGAATGCTTGGCTTATTTAACATTTTTTCCAGAGAATGCTTGGCCTATTTAACATTTGCCAGAGAATGCTTGGCTTATTTAACATTTGCCAGAGAATGCTTGGCTTATTTAACATTTGCCAGAGAATGCTTGGCTTATTTAACATTTGCCAGAGAATGCTTGGCTTATTTAACATTTTTTCCAGAGAATGCTTGGCTTATTTAACATTTGCCAGAGAATGCTTGGCTTATTTAACATATTTTCCAGAGAATGCTTGGCTTATTTAACATTTGCCAGAGAATGCTTGGCTTATCTAACATATTTTCCAGAGAATGCTTGGTTTATTTAACATTTGCCAGAGAATGCTTGGCTTATTTAACATATTTTCCAGAGAATGCTTGGCTTATTTAACATTTGCCAGAGAATGCTTGGCTTATTTAACATATTTTCCAGAGAATGCTTGGCTTATTTAACATTTGCCAGAGAATGCTTGGCTTATTTAACATATTTTCCAGAGAATGCTTGGCTTATTTAACATTTGCCAGAGAATGCTTGGCTTATTTAACATATTTTCCAGAGAATGCTTGGCTTATTTAACATTTGCCAGAGAATGCTTGGCTTAATTAACATATTTTCCAGAGAATGCTTGGCTTATTTAACATTTGCCAGAGAATGCTTGGCTTATTTAACATATTTTCCAGAGAATGCTTGGCTTATTTAACATTTGCCAGAGAATGCTTGGCTTATTTAACATATTTTCCAGAGAATGCTTGGTGTATTTAACATTTGCCAGAGAATGCTTGGCGTATTTAACATTTGCCAGAATACCAGTAAGACATGGAACAATCAACAACTTGACCAAAAACATAACAATAAAAACAGTTTGAAACCTTCCTACAACTTTTATAAAAAAACTCACAATGGTTTTTTTTATTAAAGATAGGAAAATATGTTTATATTTGAAGTAAGAATAATATAATTTTCTTTGTTTATTGTATATATCATTTGTTTATTGTATATATCATTAAGAACATGCAGAGGACTCCTAACTTGAAGATGTATATACATATCTACAATTAGGACTTGTTAGATAATTATTCTACATTTATTCAATAAAGGTATAGGGTTTGATTGAAATTAACTATAGAAACTTCTGTCATGTAAACTTTTATATAAACACACTTAAATATTTTAGTAGTATTTTCGGATGATAACATAAAATATGCGTTGAAAATTTTTGAAAATTTTAGAAATTCTGTTACAACTAAAAGCATACATTAAAAAATATGAAAATACAGTATACAAATTTTTCAAAATAAGCATTATAAATCATTATTAAAATAAAAATACAGGTTTTCAAGAAAGGTATGTATTATATTGTGGTAAAGTTTTTCTACAGAAGTTTCTATGATTTTGACATGTTATACACAGAGGGATCTTGTATGATGATGTTTGACATGTTATACACAGAGGGATCTTGTATCATGATGGTAATTCAATGTATTATATGTTTAACATGATGGTTAGAAGTCAAATGATTAGGGAATACATGATAGATTAGACGAGAAACACTTCAGTTAGAATTTCCGACACAAATAATTTACCGGAGACTGAATTGAAGCTGGTGTATTGTTTGATGGCCTTTCTGACGGTGATGGAGACTAAAATAAAATGTCAATGTCGATATTACATCAAGCATATGTACAATATCTGTACTCAATATCAAATTATACACTCATTACATATAATACCCTGCAACAGACGGGTAACATAATAAAAATTAGCATCTTGTAAGTACTGTATATCAAATCAAAATTCTACACTTAAAATAATATTATAAAGATTCTATAAAAAGGCTGTAAAAGAAACATTAGACTTGAAGAAAATGCTCCAGTACAGATAGAACACAGGTTGTTTACATACAACTATCAGATTTATCTAAACATCAGAATTATTAGTCATTTAATTCTTATCATTGAATTCAAAACCATAAAAAAAATCAAAAATCAAAAAATGTCTGCAGCAGCCAAGATCACATTTTAGACAAAGTTGTTTACAAGGTCATAATAAAGCAATGAACAATTTCCAAGTAATAAAGGGAAAAAATATTTGTATTATATAAATGTACAAGAGGTGCTAAAAGTAATCTTAAAAAAAAAAAAGATACTGCACCAGTAACTGATGACACCACTTATTAACCTTAATTTAACATCTCTAAATCAATACTTTTATGTTTCAAAAGGCCCAAGAGATTTTAGATATATAATTTTAACTTCTTTTAATAATCATGTACTCATTTGTTGATATTTATCTTAATCCTTTTTTTTTATAAACATAATCTTTTAAAACATGTTGTGTAAATAGCAGACTTTACACAAGCCATGACAGTGAACACAACAGCATTCATTACACCAGCCATGACAGTGAACACAACAGCATTTATTATCAATCAAATCAAAATAAAGAATTATTTTAAAACAAGTATGTCTGAAAGTTGTATGTGTAGACCCACAATGTTACAATGTAGATTTTGTGAAAGTAACGATAAATAATAATAAAAGCAGACAGTAAGCTTTTTAAAAACCAGATAGCACATATCACAAATCTTAGTTTCTCGATAGAGCAAAACTTAAAAATAGATGACAATATTAGCTTATTAATTATGAAAAAAATTTAGTCTAACAAGTGGTATGACTAATTAATGACAGTCAGTGTTGTGCCTAGGTAACAAGACAATTTCATAAATCTAATATTTTCTAGGTAAAGCCTCATCTCTCAAATATTTTAATCAAACCTAATACCGTGGATTCATTTATGATCGTGGATACCAATTTTCATGGATTGAGGAATAATTATATTTTCGTGGATACTTGATATTGTGGTTTTTACCAATGTCAGCTGACAAGCCTTTAGAAAATTTGTTCTCTGTTGACCATTTAAATTCTTGGTTCACCTATACCCACAAAATCACATAAATTGGTATGCCAAGAATAATTATGAATTCACAATAACTAGAAAAGTATCAAAAGACTGAAATAATAAAATGCTAAAACCTTCAGCACAACAGTGACGTAAAGAGTAATGGAGCTATATGTGGACTATACCTCTATCACCTTAGGGTCTGCCTCTACAGTCTGATCAAGCATGAAATATATATATATATATATAAAGTTTGTTCTCATTCTACATCTTTATCTCGATGATTTTATCTCAAACATGGTTTAAACTTATCAATACATCGATCTTTATCAAGTCTTCTTTAACCAATTTTCTAGCATTTCACAGCAGCAAAAAAAAGGATGAGTTCCAAATAAGAATTCTTTCAAAATCAAAAAAACTTCACTCGAGTTTATTCCTAATGTTCATATCTATAATAACCTGAGGTTGTTTGATATCGATTAACCTAGTTCCACATAGGATATGATCGAAAAAACACTATAAGAATGTTCAAATTGTTCTCCTGTAAGTTGTGTTAAGTTCCACCTGTACTCAAGGGTAATGGTCACTATTGGTAAATCTTTATGGACAACCAGGCAGTTTTACTTTCATTTTATGTATATTTTTTTCCTGTTTGTTTAGTAGTGTCAATTTTAGACTATTCTGTACATAATAAATTTGCTGGTTGGTTGTCTTCTATAGACTCTTATATACTGTAAATTCAGAAATTATTGCCAGTTTTTATTAATGCTATAAATATAGACTGGATGAGTATCGCAATATTAAGAACTCGCATTATGATATCTTATTCATATATCTGTATGTAGATTTCCCTGCAATCACATTAATAAATCTGGCAATTTTGTCAATTCTTCAAAAATCACAATGATAAGTGCACACAATATTTCTGAATTTACAGTATATCTTCCATCTATTACTATCCATAATATCTGTATTCCTTGAAGGATTTATATCTTATCCATTTAATATGTCTTGATTATTTGACCCTTGTAGCGGCCATCATTTATACAGACTGAAGGAGAAGTTATATTTCTTTTGCCTACTTAAAAACAAATTGGTATTACAATATTTAAAAGTTTTATGCCATGCTTTCAGATATGCTCTCTGAACATATGCATTCTATAAAGCTTTGTGTATGGGGAGCCCTAACTACCTACAGTATTGATATAGATATAGAATACCTACACTTTCCAGGTCCACTTTACTCTGTTGATATTGAGCAAGTTGCAACTTTAACATTTGTATAACATTCTGGTTCTGTTGAATTGTCTGTTGTAATTCTCTATATTTCTCATCCAGTAGATACTGGTCCCCTGCCTGCTTTTGCTTCTCTTTCTGCATTTTGTTTTCTAAATTTTTCTATTCAACCAGAAAATAATTCAACATGAATACAAATTAATGTATTAAATATCAATGCACCAGGACAAAAGTTTAAATAGCCAAAGATGTATGGCTAAATAAGTTCAGGAATAAACATAAATAAATAAAAATGTCCTAATACCAACAAGAATCCTTAGAATACACTATTTAGGTTAATGACTTTAACACATTTTTAGTTTATATTTATCACATTTGTTTTCATTGGTTTTGCTAATAACTTTATAGTGGGGTTCTACGACCAAAGTAATTTTTACATAATTACACTGTCAGTTCATTTAATCTTTTGTGGATAGTTTTTGGTAATGGAATTCATACCAAATTTTGTTATTTCAATCACACATATCAGAATAGTTACATTATACAATACTGCCAGTCTGGCTACTGCATCAGCTAACTGTTGTCTAAATGCTTTTCTCACGGTCGATACTCTCTACAAATAAAATATGTACTTATTTTAACAATGCATTTCTCATATTGGTAAGAAATAAAGATATTTGAATTTGAATTTGTTAATAAACATGCCTAATCAAAATATTTCATACTTGAACAAAGTTTTCTTGTTATAGTCACTGAAGCATCACAGGATGCCAATGAAAATGAATAACAAATAGCAATGGTCTATCATAAGTGCATATTTCTAATTTATCAGAAATTTTACATTATGTGTTGAGAGTGCCAAAGAAATAAAAAAAAACACCAAAATAGTTCTTCCAACTCAATCTTTGTCGCAGAAAGATAAAAACTAACTGGTCTCTGAATTCTGTGTTGTTGTTGCTATTTATGCATTTAATTTTTTTTATCTTTTTGTAGTATACTTACATCTTCATGAATTCTTTCTAATTCAGCTACTTTCTCATTAATTCTACAATATCTGTAAAAAAATAACAACAATTACATGAAATTATTTGTTTATTATTTTCTGATGTTTCCAAGAAAAAAAGAGAAAGATTCTACACCCAGTATTACACGATAGGAAACATCCTATTTTCATTTTTTTGTTTTGAGGAGAGAGTGTTCAAAAATATTATTCCTATTGTATTTATTAACTGATCAATGGTAGGAGGAGTTAATTGCCCTTTTCTACATCTGTTGTCAGTTATGATTTACAGGGTTCATTTTGAATTTGTACATATATGTGTATTAATATGCTGATTACTGTTGTCTGTCATGAAATGCAGTGTGCCCTTTAAAATGTGTGCAAATACATATAATGGTCAATAAGATTGGTTTGACAGAGGATGTTTATACCAAGGTATGTATAAGACAAGTGTTGAGCTCTCTTCACATAAAATTCCTGTCTTACAAAATTCTGCCATATTTTTATGATTTTTAACCTACAAAAATTACTCATATCCTGGTACAGCCAAAATTGCTCACTCCGGCTCAATCCACCATCCTATACTTTGTTTAGTTTAGTTATACTTGTCTCTGCATCAAAAGTTTGCCACTGGTAATCTAAGCATTAAAAATTCTTTGCATATTTTATAAATACATTGACATTGTGTTTCTTTTACTTCTATCATCTAAAAAAATTGATATGTTTTCTTAATTTCTTTGGTAATACTTTTCAATACTTATAATCCAGAAAGCACGGATCATGTCTTTTTATATGAAACGAGGTGGTGTGTCTGTGATCATATATATATACATACAGTTCTGTAGCCTTTTCCTGAACTTTAGCTTCATAATCAGCCTGCATCACACTTTTTGTTAAATTAATGTCCCGTTTCATTTTATGTACGTCCTGAAAAATATATAAACACAACTTCTATTATACTGTTATTCACTGTAAGAATATAAACATTTCTTCTATTATACTGTAATTCACTGTAAGAAAGCCTTTGTAAGATTAACTTCTTTCATTTCTTCAAATGAATAAAAGGAGATGTTGGGCATATGTGATTGTCATAAAGATATTTAACCAGTAAATAAGAAACAGGGGGCTCCTATGTGCCCCCATAGCTCACCTAGTAAATTTACCCGTTAATTTCCACAAGAAACGATAACTTATGACTAATTTAGCTACAGATGTTTTTTTTTTCATCAAAACTCTAAAATTTTATTGTGCAGAGAATATTTCAAAATTGGTCCATTAGAACCAAAATTGCCTGTGGTAGTTATATTTTTCTTATTTTCTGAAAGTGATGTTAAATGAACAACCCTCAATATGTTATTCATGCTAAATTCAATTCAAAAATGCCTGTTGGCTTCAGAGATGCTCAAAATGTAAATTACTAAGATGGATGCAAAGTAACAACAGCTCAAACACCAAAGGACAACGTGACTTAAAAGCACAGAAAACATCTAGAGGTCAACATACTGTCTAAAAAAAAACTGCCAAGAGTCTACTATACCATATATTATATGACAAAATCACTGGGAATCTAGACAAGTCGTGAACAACAAGTTCCAATCACCAGGAGTCTAGACAATTTGTGAACAAGAAGTTCCAATCACAAGGAGTCTAGACAATTTTGTGAACAAGAAGTTCCAATCACTAGGAGTCTAGATAATTGAAGCTCCAATCACCAGGCATATTCGCTAGCCAAGGGTTACGATCCTGTCCCCTCCTCTCCACCCTTGGCAGATTGAGAAAGAATTTTTATCCACGATGTAATGACTTCCATTGATCGCAGTTATAACTGGCTGCATCCAATCAAAAAGCGCCTTTAAGATGATTACGTGTAAATTTACAAATGTAAATAACAATTTCCACGTGCTGAATATTTACCACAAAAACATAAGACGATATTTAGTGACAACATAAGTGGATCCAGGGGGCGGGGGCCCTGGGGAGTTGATTATTTAGGGAATCACTAAAGCATGACTGGAGCGGGCTCCCTCTTAGGCAGTCAGTGGGCCCCCCTTATGAAAATTTCTGGATCCCCCACTGGAAGCATGACTAGCGAGCCCCCTCTTATGGCAGTCAGTGGGCCCCCTTATAAAGAGTTCTGGATCCGCCACTGGATAATTTTTAAGTTCTTAATCAACTAATTGAAGTTCCTGGGTATGTTTCTAGTGGAAATATTGGATTGACAATGTATATTTTCGGTTCCTGCTTCACGAAATTTGTGAACACTAGACACAACCATTTTTACACCTCCACACTGAAAAGAGTTCAAATGCTGCCATTGGACAAGAACGATGCAGTCAGAATGGGCGTGACTTTTATCTACCGTTAGATGGCGCAGTTGTAATCACAAATGTTGGCTTAATCTGCCAAGGGTGAAGAAGAGGGGACTGGATTGTAACCCTTGGCTAGTGAAGATGATCACCAGGAGTCTAGACAAGTTGTGAACAAGAAGTTCTAATCACAAGGAGTCTAGACAATTTGTGAACTAAAAGTTCCAATCACCAATAGTCTAGATAAGTTGTGAACTAGAAGTTTCAATCATCAGGAGCATAGACAAGTTGTGAACAAGAGGTTCCAATCACCAGGAGTCCAAACAGTTGTGAACAAGAAATTCATTCACCAGGAGTCTAGACAAGTTGTGAACTAGAAGTTCCAATCACCAGGAGTATAGACAAGTTGTGAACAAGAAATTCCATTCACCAGGAGTCCAAACAAGTTGTGAACAAGAAATTCATTCATCAGGAGTCTAGATAAGTTGTGAACAAGAAGTTCCAATCATCAGGAGTCCAAACAAGTTGTGAACAAGAAGTTCCAATCACCAGGAGTCCAAACAAGTTGTGAACAAGAAATTCAATTCACCAGAAGTCTAGACAAGTTGTGAACAAGACGTTCCAATCACCAGGAGCATAGACAAGTTGTGAACTAGAAGTTCCAATCACCAGGAGTATAGACAAGTTGTGAACAAGAAATTCCATTCACCAGGAGTCCAAACAAGTTGTGAACAAGAAATTCATTCACCAGGAGTCTAGATAAGTTGTGAACAAGAAGTTCCAATCATCAGGAGTCCAAACAAGTTGTGAACAAGAAGTTCCAATCACCAGGAGTCCAAACAAGTTGTGAACAAAAAATTCCATTCACCAGAAGTCTAGACAAGTTGTAAACAAGAAGTTCCAATCACCAGGAGTCTAGATAAGTTGTGAACTAGAAGTTCCAATTACCAGGAGCATAGACAAGTGGTGAACAAGAAGTTCCAATCAACAAGAGTCTAGACAATTTGTAAACAAGAAGTTCCTAGTCATGCAAAGTAGTACAGGATTAGACATTCCAGACCAGATATCAAATAATTCCTAAATGTTGAATCTGAATAATATGTATCAAAAGTTAGGGAGACATGGTCATTGCAGTATACCACCATAATTTATCTATCAATCAATGTTCAGTCAAATTAATATAGCAGAGTAGGAGGCTGTTTAACTATCTATAAAAAGCTGTAAACCCTCAGTCATTTTTTACTAAGATGCATAGTCAGTATCAGTATAGAAAAAGTTTAACCACCATTAAGGGTGAGGGGGCAGTTACAATTTCTGTTAGTAGAATTTATAAAATCTGTCCACTAAAAAGAGAGAATGCTTAATAAAAAAAGTAAATGTGGAGTATACCTCAAAAGAGATAGTAGTCTTACAATAAAAAAATAATGAATGACATCTTAAGATTAACAGAGTCTTCAATAATGGTCAGGCGTTTATACTGTAAACTTATGCTGGATTCAGTCAAATCAACCTTTAGTAGAAGTTGTACAACATCTGTCATATCCTTTAGTTCTACGACTTTTGTGACAGCCGTCAGAGAGTGAAGAGTGAATACAATCAAACTAACCTTTAGTAGAAGTTGTAAAACATCTGTCATATCCTTTAGTTCTACGACTTCTGTGACAGCCGTCAGAGAGTGAAGAGTGAATACAATCAAACTAACCTTTAGTAGAAGTTCTAAAACTTCTGTCATATCCTTTAGTTCTATGACTTCTGTGACAACCGTCAGAGAGTGAAGAGTGAATACAGTCAAACTAACCTTTAGTAGAAGTTGTAAAACTTCTGTCATATCCTTTAGTTCTACGACTTCTGTGACATCCGTCTGAGAACATCTGTCCAGTGTAAAGAAACCAACCTTGTGATGGTCTGCCAATGATGGCCTGAAATTATACAACCTTCATTGCAAGTTTTTTCCATTTTATATGAGTCTGGACATTCCTGAAAGTCTGTCTTTAGAAATGTTATCAAAATGATATTTTGGATTAAAATATGTGCTTTTGCTTCATCTAAATACATTGTAGTATAAAATATAATAGAATGCTCCGCAGGGCGCAGCTTGATACGACCGCAGAGGTCGAACCCTGAACAGTTGGGGCAAGTATGGACACAACATTCAAGCTTGACACAGCTCTGAATTTGGATTGTGATTAAATATTTGACACAGCATAGGTTTCTGACACAGAATGAATGTGGTCTAAGAACTTAAAAATTTTAAATTGGACATTCACCTATTATGGTCCAATATCCAAAATCTAAATACATGGTTAGATTCAGCATATCAAAGAACCCCAAGAATTCAATTTTTGATGAAATCAAACAAAGTTTAATTTTGGACCCTTTTGATCTCAATGTGAACAAAGTTGATAACGGGGCCCCAAAACCAAAAATCTAAATACATGGTTAGATTCAGCATATCAAAGAACCCCATATATTCAATTTTTGTTGAAATCAAACAAAGTTTAATTTTGGACCCCGATTTGGACCAACTTGAAAACTGGGCCCATAATCAAAAATCTAAATACATGTTTAGATTCAGCATATCAAAGAACCCTAAGAATTCAATTTTTGTTAAAATCAAACTACAAATGTAAGTTTAATTTTGGACCCTTTGGACCTTAATGTAGACCAATTTGAAAAGGAACCAAAAATTAAGAATCTAAATACACGGTTAGATTCAGCATATCAAAGAACCCCAATAATTCAATTTTTGATGAAATCAAACAAAATTTAATTTTGGACCCTTTGGACCTCAATGTGGACCAATTTAAAAACGGGGTCCAAAAACCCCATTGAAATTGGTCAAGAAATAAGAAATTTATACGAAGTATCTTTTTTTGCACAATACTGTGCAATTGAATATTTCTTGCTATTGCGCAATTAAGAAATAATTCATGGGGGCTTGAATATATCGTGATTTTAACCACGGGTTGGCCCTTTATGACAAATATTTTACCCTGAGCGATAGCGAGGGGTAAAATATCGGCATAAAGGGACAACCCGTGGTAAAATCACGATATATTCAAGCCCCCATGAATTATTTCGATTCTAATAGGACAAATACGGCAATTGTTTTGGATCGAAGCGCTCTAGATGAAGGCATTATTTGCCATTCCCATAAATAAACGCACTATTAAATTGACGTAACAGACTGGAGCAAACTGAATAAATGACATGCTTAAACTATTTACAATAACATATTTAGATAGGTTTGGATGAATCTAAATGACAATTGTACTTATATGTCTTATATGTATACAAAAAATGGCTTATATAACACATTTAAGCATCGTTTGTTTATGTTTCCTTGTTGTGATGATTTTTCGGTTTCACAAGCGTGTATTTTCCAGGAAAATGCTTATATTCTTACGTCATCGTTCTATGACTTCGGGTAGCTCATTCATAAAAAAGCATAGGACGCGGGAGTACGATTGGAACAGCCCAAACAATATATTCATATTTTACCACGGGTGTGTACTCAAAGCGTTTGAAGAACGTCATGTTAGAATACTGTACAATTGACAATTTCTTGCTATTGCGCAATATTGTGCTATTGGATATTTCTTGCTATTGCGCAATACTGTGCAATTGAAGATTTCTTGCTATTGCGCAATACTGTGCAGTTGAAAATTTCTTGCTATTGCACAATACTTATTATATAATAATTTACACATCCTGTTTGGTGTGTATCTCCTACCATATCATTATTATTTGATTTTAAATATAAATCAGAAATAACCAACTTAAAATGGAAAATTTAAAAAAAAAAAAAAGGAAATAAAGAAAAAAAAGGAAAAAAAAAATCCCCCCCCAAATTTTTTGAACCCCCTTATGATTCATCACCCCCTAACTCAATCCCAGCCTTCCCTTTGTGGTATGGTACTACCTTGCAGTACAATTTCAGAGAGATCCATACACTTGAACACAAGTTATTGTCTGGAAACTAGAAAAATGTGTTTTTTGGCCCCTTTTTGGCCCCAAATTCCTAAACTTTTAAGGCAATTACCCCCAAACTCAAACCCAGCTTTCCCTTTGTGATATGGAACCTTGTAGTACAATTTCAGAAAGATCCATACACTTACACACAAGTTATTGTCATGAAACTAGAAAAATGCTTGTTTTTTGCCCCTTTTTTTGCCCCTAATTCCTAATATTTTGAGGCAATTACCCCCAAAATCAATCCCAGCATTCCCTGTGTGATATGGAACCTTGTGGTACAATGTCAGAGAGATCCATACACTAACACACAAGTTATGTCTGGAAGTTACAAAAATGCTTATTTTTGGCCCCTTTTTGGCCCCTAATTCCTTAACTGTTGGTACCATAACCCCCAAAATCAATCCCAACCTTCCTTTTGTGGTATTGAACCTTATGGTAAAATTTCATAGAGATCCATTCATTTAAACTAAAGTTAGAGTGCGAAAACCAATGTGTCTTCGGACGACGAAAAAAATTTTGCGGCCGTATAAAAAATAAGAAGATGTGGTATGATTGCCAATGAGACAACTCTTTGCCAGAGACTAAATGATTCAATTAATCAAGGGATCTGATTGGTCAAATTTTTCAACAACCGTCATCTCGATTTCTCCATTCAAAATTGGACCAATCAGATCTCTTGATCATTTCATTCAGTCATTTGAAGGTGCTAAGATTATTTATGGGAGAACTGATATTTTGGGGAAATAGACAACTTTCATGTTTGTTGCATTTCTGTCAAAACTGGTTTTAGTGAACATCATTCATGCATTTAGGGGCATCGTCACTTCCTTCCAATGTTGAGCAAGCGGTTGAAAATATATGATGCTATATTTCACGAATTATTCACCAAATTAAATTCTTATAATTGATAATCAGCACTGCTGTCATTAAAGAATTGTGATTAAGTACCTACGGAACAACAATTATTTCTAATTTAATTTATCTCCAGTGGTCCCTAAATAATCAAGCATTTTTTTCCCACAAAAGGATGGCCTGGGCACCCTGCCCCCCTAAATACGCCTCTGTAAGAAATCTTATAAATATTTTTTTTAAATTGGGGCCGGATCGACTTAAGGGACGGATCGACTTGGGGCCGGATAGACACGAAAGCATATTCAGTATATACTGTCTTCACCTCTTACCGGTGTATACCTGATTCCGGTGTAATATTAAAATCCAGATTTTCGTTGAACCAAAAGTGTGTGCATGGGTTGGAGGTCAGAGGTTACAGACAACTAGTTCTCAGCTATAGGACAACAGATGTAAATACGTCAAACAGTTTTCATTACAGGTAAAAATGTCTTTTTTACTATAAGCTCAACGTAGTGTTTTTTCCCCCCAAAAAAAATCTTGTCTTGTACCTGTGGTTACTTATGAGGGGGGTCGGACCTTTATCGGGACTCCGGGATCAGGTGTTTTTAAGCTCAGGATTTCGGGATTGATCCTTTCGGGTTCAGGGAATTCTTTTTTCGAATTTCGGGATGTCAGCATTTAAATTTCTTTAAATTCAGGACCTCTGGATTTCATGTTTTTAAGCCTGGGATTTCGGTATCAGGACCCCTCTGACTTATGATAATAAAGTATGCTGTTGTTAATGCCCCTAATTGTTAAAAAAAAGTATGTTACTAAAGTTGTATCCCATTAAAAACATGGTAATATAACCATGCAAGATGCTTTCTTTTCAGTAGCATTGCTTACTTGTCCTGGGCTGCGACAGAGGTATGAGAGAATGTTTTCAGAATACCAGCTTGTATTCCTACAGATTTAAATCGTGGAATACCAGCTGCTTCGATGAGAGCAGCTATATCAGGAGGGGTATCTTTGTTGAAAGACCGTATTTTGCTAAACATGTTGATGTATTTTTCGTCCATTTTGAACGTTGTTTGAAAAATCTCATGTGATAATCGCACGCGCAAGAAAGTGGGTTTTCGGTCAATACTGATTTGACAGGTGCGTGTAGCAAATATTTCCTTTCATGACTGTGTTTGTCTGTGAATATGAGATATTTACCGAAATAATTCCAATTCATTTTCCTTATTGCCATAAATATCAACTATATGATCTTGCAGCTCGTTTGCTGCTACAGAAAAGCGATCAAACTGCGAACTGGAGCTAACCAGCGCCATTGTTGCTATCAACAATATAGATGTCGCTACATACTTCCCGTTTAATCCTTTCGTCTAAAAGTTATTTAAGCGGAAAGTTTAAAATAAATCACGTAACACGCATATTGTAATGTATAATATGTATTATATATAAACATATTTAATAAGAATGTCAAGAATGAGATTGAATAAGCACAAATATTTATGCATAATTCTACATACCTGGATTCTACCTGGATTACTGCGGCGATCTTTTAGTCGCCTCAAGGATTTGTATAGTATTGTCTTACTATACAAATCCTTGGTCGCCTTGTAATTAAACTTTATAATCAACTTATACTTAAACTATAAGCTGTGCGCCTAGAAAGGGTAACTTATTTTCCCATTGATTATTCAAGCTGGTAAACGAGGGTATTTAATTGTTAATTACTGATTCACATTAAAAGTTGAAATAACTACTATTTATCATCATCTCTCATCTTGACTGTAGGATTAAACTTTCCATTCCAGTATTCCTCGTTCAGTGGTGGATCCAAAAGGGGGGGGGGGTTGGAACCCCCCTTTTTGATGATCAATGCTTGTGAATGGGGACATGTGGTTGAAACCCCCCTCTTTATCCTGGGTTGGACCCCCTTTTAAAAATGACTGGATCCGTCCCTGTCGGTAATACAATTTTTAAATATATTGACTGATTTTGCACTACCTGTTTCTGTTTACAGATAAGACTATTCCATTGATCAATGATCCTTTGTGAAAAAGTATGAAGACGTTGAGTTGAATTACACCTCTTTTTAATTAAGTTCCAAGAATGACCTCTAGTAGAATTAGTAGACAACTTAAACATATTTTGCCATTTAATATCATCTAACCCGTGTAAAGCTTTATACACTTGAAACATATCATAACGATGAGGGGGGGGGGGCAAGGGGGGTTCCAATAACAGCAAAACAGCAAATTGATTTTGCTTATAACTGATAACAAGGAATTGAAAAGGGATAAAAACAGATAACAGTAAATGAATAATTAAAATCAGTCGGGTCCAGGACAAATCCATTATATATCTTATTATAATCCTTTGTAATGAATTCTATTTTCTATGAACATGTTTTTAGAGTTATATATCTAGAATTGGTTTACTCAATGTATGATAATATTTTTTTGTTATGGAATACCTTTTTCAGCATTTATTTTTGTACTTTTAAAGAAGCTCACACATGCTTGTAATTTAAATAGTGAGTGTATTCTTGGAAAAGAATCACAGAGCTGAGTCTGTGTTCCTTATTATATAAAAGGTGTGTATGTTAACTGGTCGTATGGAACTCGGACTTAATTGCCATCCTCATCAGGTATCCCTGGCCATATGTTTACCTTTTTGTCGAGTCTGCGACTTTTGTCGCAAAAGCTAGACATAGTGATCACACATTCCGTCGGCGGCGTCGTCGTCAGGGGCATCCACAAATATTCACTCTGTGGTTAATGTTTTTAAAATTTCAATAAATTTCTTAAAATATCCTGGATTTCTACCAAACTTGGACAGAAGCTTGTTTATGATCATAAAATAGTATCCAGAAGTAAATTTTGTAAAAAAAAATAATCCTATTTATCCGTATTTTACTTATAAATGGACTTAGTTTTTCTGCCAGTTTACATTACATTCACTCAGTGGTTAAAGTTTGAAAAATTTTAATTACTTTCTTAAACTATCCTGGATTTTTATCAAACTTGGACCAAAGCTTGTTTATGATCAAAAGTGTGTATCTAGAGGGAAATTTTGTAAAAAATTATTTCTTGTATTTCCATATTTTACTTATAACATGATTGTATAAATGGACTTTAATAAGTTTTTCTTTCAGTTAACATTGCATACAGTCTGCAGGTAAAGTTTTTAAAGAATTTATAAGATTCATAAACCATCCTGGATTTTTACCAAACTTCGACAGAAGCTTCTTACAATCAAAAGATATTATCTAGTTTAAATGTGTATGCCCCCGCCGTAGCGGAGAGGGGATTAAGTTTTACCCTTGTCCGTCTGTACATACGTCCGTACATACGCCCGTACGTCCAAAAGTTGGTTTCCGTTCTCTAACTTCAGTTTGCCTCATGCCAAATGTTATGAAACTTATACACAATGCTTATTACCACAAAACACAGATCAAATTTGAATATTGGGGGCGTCACTTTAACCATTCTAGAGTTAACTTATGCCCCTTCACAAATGGAAAAAATTGCTGAATTTTTATTTCCGTTCTCTAACTGTAGTTTGCCTCAACCAAATGCTATGAAACTTGTACACAATGCTTATTACCACAAAATACAGATTAAGTTGGAATTTTGGGGTTGTCACTAAATTTTTTAGAGTTATGCCCCTTTACAAATGGAAAAACTGAATTTTTCGTTTCCGTTCTCCGAGTAAATTAAGTTTGCATCAACCAAATTTTATGAAACTTATACACAATACGTATTACCACAAAACTCAGATCAAGTACAAATTTGGGTAGGGTTACTTTTACTGTTCTTCAGTTATGTTCCTTTATAACTGTATATGATATGCAAGCGGGGGCATCATCTGTTTCCCATGGACACATTCCCCATTTTTGTTAATAACTTTTTACCCATTTTGTTGAGCCTTTGACTAACATCAAAAGTAGGCGAGACACTAGTACTGGGTTCCGTGGAACCCTGACGAATTTTTGTAATATTTTAAAAGAATTGTTCGAATTGAATATGCACATACAGGGAAACAAGGATCATTATCCCTAAACGTAAAAATCAAGATAATTCTAAATACATGTTCATAGAAAAAGGAATTTATTACAAAGGATAATAATAATATAGACTGTAATGGTCCTGGACCCAACTAATATTAAAATGTTTATGTGATGATCTGTGATTAAATATACGATGATGTGGCCATGAGTGCCAATGAGACAACTCTCCATCCAAGTCACAATTTGTAAAAGTTAACCCTTAATATAGGTCAAAGTACGGTGTTCCACACGGAGCCTTGGCTCACACCGAACAGCAAGCCATAAAGGGCCCCAAAAATGACTAGTGTACTGTAAACCCATTCAAATGTCTATATGTTAATTGAATCCTTCTCCGAATACGGGACCACCATGTTACTAGTGGAAAGATCCCAATTCAATTTCTACTGAAGATTGGCTGTCAAAATGCTAACATTCCAATTTTCAATAACAGTTAACAGCAAATACATTCTCACAATAACAGATAACAAAAAACTAATAGTCCAATAACAGCTAACAAGGAATAAGACAATAACAGCTAACAGCAAATATATTTTCAGAATAACAGATAACAAAGAATTAAATTGCCCCAAAACAGCATAACAGTTAAACCCCTTGCCCCCCCTCAACGATCTCATTTGTATTCAAGTGTTGGAAGGCCCAAGGTTTTCAATCTTTCTGCATAACTTAAATTTCTTATACTAGGTACCAGTTTGGTAGCAGTGCACGAAGCTGTATCTTTTCAATTTTCCTTATATCTTTCTTTAAATATTGTGACCACTCTGTAGTGGAATATTCCAACAATGGACGTATTATTGATATATATAAAGTAATAAACATATCTTTTTCCAAATAGTCAACAGAAATATGGATTAATGCTAAGACTCTCTGAGCTTTATTCATACAGTTAGTAATATATTTGTCAAACTTAAGGTTAGGCTCAAATATTACCTTCTAAGTCCTTTTCTTCAGTAACAGGATTAACCTGGACATAATTATCTTCATTATCTAACATTGTGTATCTAGACAATTTATTATTTTGACCAAAGTGCATTACTTTACATTTACTTGCATTAAATGATAATTTCCATTTTCTAGACCAATCACATAATCTATCTAAATCAGCTTGCAATTCCAGGGTTGCGTTCAATAGTGTAGCTGCTACGTAGTGCTACGTAGATTTTTGTCTATTGAACGAGTAGCTAGCCTAGCTGCTATCAATATCTATGTAGCAGCTAGGCTAGCTACACGTTCAATAGTCATAAATCTACGTAGCCCTATGTAGCCGCTACGATATTGAACGCAACCCTGGTGTTGTTGCTCATTAGCTACGGACGAATAAACCTTTGTGTCGTCTGCAAAAAAATTAACCAGCCCAGCAACTGCATATGGCATATCATTTATAAACGCCAAAAATAGTACGAGCACCAGGACACTGCCCTGGGGTACTCCGCTTATAACTTTAGCTCTAGGTGATTACGTATTATTAAGTCTAACTCGCTGGGATCTATTTGTTAAAAACATTTTATCCAATCCAAAACTTTTCCTTGAATTCCTAGATTGTAAAGTTTACCAATAAGACGCACATGAGACACAGTGTCAAAAGCACGACTTAAATCTAAATAAATTGTATCCACTGCAAATGATCAAGGACTTCAAGTAGTGATATTGAACAGGAACGTCCAGGTCTAAAACCATACTGACAATCAGACAACAGATTATTCTCTAATAAATGCTTCATTAATTTGTCTCTAAGGGACCGGTCATTATTTATCTCCAGGGGGGGCCGGCAAAATGTAAATTTGAAATGATAAAAAATGATTGACCCCCCCTTTTCAAAATGTGTTAAAAAATTTAACCCCCCCTCTTTCAACTACATAAAAACTTTTGACCCCCCCCCTCTCTTTTCTGATTATAATTGAAAGGTTTCAAATGATTCAATTATTATATGTTGCTAATATTCCTAGTAAGGTATTTTAATACACATACACAGAGAATGCATTGAGGACGACATCTGATAGAAGAATACACTGATGTAAGGGACCGTTCAATATTTACCAGATGGATGGGCCGGTGCATTCTTAATATTATTTCATTAAAAAAGTTAATGCCCATCCTTTTAAATTCTGCAAAAAAGTCCTTGCCCATCTAAAAAAAACTATAAAAAGAGTCCCTGCCCCTCTAAAACTTAAAGACAATCAAAAATGATATAGGTTCTTTTTCTATTTTAATATTTGCATGTTTATGTCTGGAAATCAAAGAATAGACTTTGGTGTATTAATACAAAATTCAAAATGTGCTAGTTAATTCCACATATATATATATATATTTATGTGTGTATCAGAAACATACATTTTATTAATTTTAAAACCAGTATGAATATACATGTATAGATTTGATTTTATATGTGCAGCCTCAGATATATACAATATCACAATTAAATCTCAAGACATAAGTAATAGCATACTATATCAGCCAGCCTTTCATAGAGGCTTAAGAAGTGCTAACAATATTTATGCAAGTCATAAAACATATGAAGAAATATTAACCATACTATTAAATGTACTTAGTTTATATTTTTCTGAAATCTTAGGTCATCTTAAATTTGAAACAGTTTAATGTATCTCTTCTTTGTTCTATTAAATAATTGAGGGTCACTACTTTTTTCCCCTTTTGTGACCATAGGACATAAAGATTTATTCAAACTATTGTTAACAATCAAAAAAATATTAACTTACTATCCAATTTGTATACAATTTTCAAAATACCATATTAATTTAAAATAAAGGGAATAATTTAAATTAAGAGACAATAACTCTTGACTAGTAAACATATTACCATATGCTGAGTTACCAATTATTGTCTTAATAATAGAGCATTCTTATATTTCAAATATACAATGTCCCTTTATCTATTCTACTTTTCAAGAAAGAAATTACGGTCTTTTTAAAGCAATTTAGGCAGACATGTTTTTGACTTTGATGCAGCTTTTTTTACCTATTAATTAAATCCCAAAGGCGGATTTAGGGGGGGGGGGGGGGGGGGGGGAAGGGGGCCAGGGCCCTCCTTTTTGTGGGAAAAATTTAGTTGCTTATATAGGAAATCACTGAAGCATGACTGGAGCGGGCCCCCTCTTAGGCAGTCAGTGGGCCCCCTCTTATGAAAATTTCTGGATCCGCCACTGAATCCCTAAATTTGTCAGCAATACATGTACACCAAACTACCAAACAACCTGGCATTCTGTAAGATCAATATATAAATGAGATGGCTGTAGAGTTTTATGAAAATCAAAGTTGATTTGGAAACGTTACACCAATTTATAAAGATGACTATCTGAATTTAGCCTAAACTGAAAATTGTAGCTTCTTTTACCTATTAACTAAATCCATAAAAATGACAACAATAAACCAAAGCACCAAACAACCTGGTATTCTGTAAGATCAATATGTTAATGAGATAGTTGTAGAGCTATATAAAAACCAAGTTGATTTGAAACTTTATACCAATTTTTAAAGATGACTATCTGAATTTAGTCTAAATTGAACATTTAAGCTTTTTTTAACCTATTTTTTAAATCCATAAAAATGACAGCAATACACCAAAACTACCAAAAAACCTGGCATTCTGTAAGATCAACATATAAATGAGATAGCTGTAGAGTTATATGAAAATCTAAGTTGATTTGAAAAAGTTATAAAAAAATTTAAAGGTGACTATCTGAATTTAGCCTAAACTGAAAATTGTAACTTTTTTAACCTATTAACAAAATCCATAAAAATGACAGCAATAAACCAAAGTACCAAACAACCTTGCATTCTGTAAGATCAGTATGTTAATGAGATAACTGTAGAGTTATATGAAAATCCAAGTTGATTTGAAAATGTTATAAAAATTTTTAAAGATGACTATCTGGTATTAACCTAAACTGAAAATTTAAGCTTTTTTTTTAACCTATTTATTAAATCCATAAAAATGACAGCAATACACTAAACTCCCAAACAACCTGGCATTCTGTAAGATCAATATATGAATGATATAGGTGTAGAGTTTTATGAAAATCCAAGTTGAATTGAAAAAGTTATAAAAACTTTTAAAGGTGACTATCTGAATTTAGCCTAAACTGAAAATTTTAGATTTTTTTTCTTACTTATTAATAAAATCCATAAATTTGACAGCAATACACCAAACTATCAAACAACCTTGTATTCTATAAGGTCAAAATACAATTGATATGAAAATCCAAGTGGTTTTGAAAATTTATATAAACTTTTAAAAGTGACTATCTGAAATTAGTCCGAATAGAAAATTCTAGCTTTTGTATTCTTTAATTAAATCCTTAAAATTGACAGAAGTTAACCAAGCTACCAGTTTGTTGAGACCATGTCTTTTATGTTTTGTGTGCCTTCAAAAGAAATTTCCTACACACCGATGAAATTGATAGCAAAATTTTTCCTATAAAATAAGTTCTGGCCCATCCACTGTACATGTAAAAAAAATCATTCATATATTTATTTATGGTGGAAATCTATATGAGGTATATTTAAGATATGGAATAAAAATAAAAATAAAACGCTTTGAAAATGTCTTTATAGAATATTTTTGTGTACACATAAAACAACAGTTTGTAAAATATATGAGTTCATCTTGAAAAATAAAAATGGTGTCACCTTCAAAAAGCAAAGTCTACTTTTGCTGTGGTGAAGCCAGGATTATGAAACCAATTTTATAGTCTCTATTCCTAGTTTCTTAGTTCTAAAACATCATGGCTAAGAAAAACATAAGAAAAGTGACTTATTTTGCACATTTTTTGGTAATATTCATTTGTCACTTGACAATAAAATTAGTCAAAGAGTAAAGTGACTAGCTCTAGGTAGATCACTGATAGTGACAGTTTGATATTTGTGAAAGAGTCAAACTAGGAGACAAGTTAGCTCTGACTATACATGTATAGTCTATGGTCATGGTACATTGTATATAGCGATCAATGAATCTATGGCCAATAAAATCATGACCCCCCTACTAGATCAACCTGAAAAAGAATGACCCCCCTCTATCAGATTCAATTTTTTTCATGACCCCCCCTACTTTTTTGCCGCCCCCCCCCCCCTGGAGATAAATAATGACCGGTCCCTAATGAGTGATTCATACAATCTACAAATAACACATGTTGAACTTACTGGACGGTAGTTAAATGGCTGTTTTTTGTCACCTTTATTTTTTAAAAATAGGTGAAAGTATTGCGTTTTTCAAATCTTCTGGTAAAACACCTTCTGATAAGGATTTCTTAAAAAATATACTTAACGGATAACTTATAGATTGTCTAACTTCGTCTAATACTTTGGGGTGAAGATTATCGGGCCCTGCTGACTTGTCTACATGTATGAAACGATCCCAATGATTCTTATTTATATCAAGAGTGCACACGCTGAAATGTCTCGCCTGCTATACTGACCATTGACTTTATGTTGAAAGTCTTAAAGATAAAGGTTTTACAACAAATATCTCATAAACTTAACATTTTTAAAGATCCATGACAATGAGGTCAAGGTCAGATAAATCCTGTCACCTTACAATTATTCCGTACACCAAATATAGTTGACGTATTCATCGGCTTATGCCGGTAATTGAAAATCAGACCAACACACAATAAACTTTACATTGACCAATGAACCATGAAAATGAGGTCAACAGGCATTTGTGGTCAGTGGGGTGCCTCAAGGCTCAGTCTTGGGTCCACTTTTTTTTTCACGATTTTCATAAATGACCTCCCTGCAACACGGTAACATCAAATCACGCTTGTTTGCATATGACTGTATTTTATACAGAACAATTGAAAATCAGCAAGATTGTACCATCCTACAAAATGACTTAAACTGCCTAGCCAAATGGGAACGAACTTGGGGTATGCAATTCCACCCAGAAAAATGCAACTCCCTCACTGTAACAAGATCACAGTCATACAAACATGACAACAACCATTCCAAACACCACATATAGTTGACCTACTGCTTCTGAAACATAAAATAATGTTCCCAATGAAATATTGTCCTTCGGACAAAATTTCATACAAAACATTGTCCGCGGACACTATTTCATAATGAAATACGTACTGTCCAGGACAATATTTCATTATGAAATAGTGTCCTCGTCCATGAAATTTTATCTCCTCCTTCTGGACAATATTTCAACATACAATACTGTCCATGACAATATTTCACTGTGATATACTGCCCGTGAAAATATTTCTTAATCTAATCATGTCCCCTGCCTAGAAATTGTGAGTGTTTCTGTATTTTTTTTTTTTTTTTTTTTTTAAATATTTTTCATGAAACGTATATGTATAACCATAAATTGCTGCATAACTTAATTAAGCAGGTTTGTTTGTAATTATCAATCAAATAAAACACTTTACTGATATCATTATCCAAAATATCAAATTTCTATAACCTCCCTTTCATGAGACAAAAGGGGGGGGTTCCAACTATATGTCCCCATTCAAATGCATTGATCGTCAAAAAAGGGGGGGTCCAACCCCTGGAACCCCCCCCCCCCCCCTGGATCCGCCACTGACCTGGGACTATTATACTAACATAACTAATATATCATATGTCCCAGCTTTAACCTTGATCAACCAGAGCAGAAATAACCAATAGCTTACTCTCCCCTTTTATTATTGAAAAAATATTGATTGCTATGTGTATTATTTAATAATCATAATTATATTGTATTTTCTTTTACTGTTACATTATAGAACACATTTTTAATATGCGAGTCTGGTAAAATTGAACCTTGTGAATCCTGTTCCAGAACATATATCATTATTAGAATTCAGTCAATGACTCATTAAATCAGGAACATATAAGTTAGATAAACTGTTCCCAGATTAAATTAACTTTTGAACTTATTGTATCATTACTGTCATACCGGAAATTATACGGTTCTGTGTCAGTTATTGAGTGAATACTACACATGTGTGACTGGTTATCTTTGTCGAATAGTACGGGAACCAGATAAAAAAGTTGGGGAAACTTCAAAGTAAACACCAAAGGCCAACACACTTACAAGTTAAATCAGTAGATCTGGAAATAGAAATTTGTTAAAAAAATGATAAGATTACGGAAGGTTGCTGTAATAACCGGAGGCAATTCGTAAGTTTTTTGTTATTTTCTTGGGCACAAGTGACGGTGAAGTCAACTCTCACAGTCACAGGCACTGCCACTTGTCTGAAAAAAATACCTTTATATTTGTTTATAATACAAGGTACCCATCTCACATTTGTGAGAAATGACTCTAGGTCATGAAATTTCCATATATTTCTTTGTTGTTGGCATCATGCATAGCAGGCCTTCCAAGTTCCAGGTAGGTAAACAGAACATTTTTTTCTTCTTCTCACAACGAAATGGTGAAGGACCTGCATGTACTTAATATAATGTACTGAAGTTCAACAGTGAGTCTTCATCAATAGTTACCCATTACGTACAGTAGTGTCTGGTAATTCCGCCCGTCCGGTAAACCCGCCCACTCCCATTTACTTCCGTAATTGTCACTTCCGTGAATATTTCGTCTGCTATTTTTATTCATAGGAACTGTACTTATCATCACTGCATGTCAAATTTTAAAGAAAAATCCTTATTACGAAAATATCTAGTGATATATAATACAGTTCCTGAAGCTAATAATAATCATATTATTGCTTACAAAACTCATTTCTGACTTGAATTTATTTTTTTTTTATTATCTTGAATCCCTATATAAGTGGTCTATTAATAGATCACCTTTTCCTTTCATAAATACGTGATAAACTGGCCCTCCATACATATTTACTGTGCATGGGCGTATTTACCGGACAAACACATTTCCGATAAAAACACGAATGACCCACTTGTTTTGTTGATTTTAAAATTTATTTCAGATGTTTTTTGGGAAATGAGATAAACTACTCAACATTGATTTGTCAGTGAATCGATTTATATTAAATTTGATACAATTTGTATATTATCAAGCAGAAATACATACGTCATAGCCTTAAGTGGGCAGATTTACCGGACTGCATCGTATATATATATATAACTGAATGTATTCTTTCAGAGTCAGTCTCAGTATCTTTTTAACTTCTTTGAGTTTGATGAAGAAAAGAGAATTTTCCCATGGAAATATTTTTTCAGCATAACAATAAGACCCAAACCTCCATCTTTATTTTAACTTCCTGCTACAGGATTTTCATCATGGACTTCTAACACCTTTAAGCAATGTTTGTTAGTTTTGGGATACACTGATAGGACACCAAGTTCCAAAGTCAGAACTCCTGGCTTTAGAAGTAGTAAAATCTTAACACCAAATGAATTGACAGAGTCAATGTTATTACCACAAACTATAGCAATTTTAACAACAGCATACTACATGTACTAACTGAAACTTTTCAGAGTTTCACCAAATTACTTAGCATTTTTTTCCCTGAATTCCAACTGCAAAAAAAATGTGTGCTGATGACACATGCATTCATATAGATTGCAAGACTTTTGGTAATAATGATTTGTGGAATGCAACACATTTAAATGTGAGGCCAGCATATTTAAAAATAAAATTGTCTTTCCTCATAAATTTTATGAAATGAAATAATATTATTAAACTGAAGGGAGATCTAGATTTCAACATATATAGAAGGATATGAAATTTGTCTTTATTGTTGAAACTTTAAAAGAACAACAGACCAATGGATAATACATAAAAATGGTAACAGGAATCACAAACCACCAACATCTGAAAAACTGGGCATCACAAACCACCAACACCTGAATAACTGGGCATCACAAACCACCAACACCTGAATAACTGGGCATCACAAACCACCAACATCTGAAAAACTGGGCATCACAAACCACCAACATCTGAATAACGGGGCATCACAAACCACCAACACCTGAATAAATGGGCATCACAAACCACCAACACCTGAATAACTGGGCATCACAAACCACCAACAACTGAATAACTGGGCATCACAAACCACCAACATCTGAATAACTGGGCATCACAAACCACCAACACCTGAAAAACTGGGCATCACAAACCACCAACATCTGAAAAACTGGGCATCACAAACCATCAACACCTGTAAAACTGGGCATCACAAACCATCAACACCTGTAAAACTGGGCATCACAAACCATCAACACCTATAAAACTGGGTATCACAAACCACCAACAAAAAAAAAACACCGAAAAAATAACAGAGTGAGACATTCAAACAAAGACATACAACAATGGATTACACATGGTTTATATAGCCCGACTTGCTACAGGTGTAAAACCATTTTTACCTGTGCAAAAATCCTACTTTACCTATGTGGACCGTATATTATAAAACTAAAACACACAATAAGGAAATGAAACTCAGATAGCAGGCTCCCTAATACAGTAGCTACAGCTGTTGTAAAGATATATGTACTGCAGCTCAAGTAAACAAAATAAATATGGATCAACACAATATGTACATTTGTGCTGGTAAAACACACTGTATTCCACTACAGTTTTGAGATTTAATTCTGTGTGCATGCATATATGTTTATAGCATTTAATTTTAAAATATTTTAGATAACTTTAGTTTTAATTGAATTAAACTGTTTTAACGGTTTATTTAATAAAGTCATTTTTTTATTTGTAATTTTATTTACATAAGAATAGGAAACCACCTATCCATATATAAATATATTTGTATATTTGTTTGATTAAATTATACCAATTTAGCTTTGTTATCTACCTGAACAGGTGTAATGATAAACTATCACCCCATTAAAGGTAAGAACACCTTGTAAACTGTCACCCCATCATTACGTCATTAATGTAAGATCGCCTGATGAAGGATGTCATTGTCATGTGTTATTATTTATTTTTTTTATGAGACACCTTTAATTCTTTCGGCATTTCAATGGTTGTTTGATAAAATTCAATTACAAATATACCTATAGATTAACTTGAAAATGTATTAATATGATGAAATTTAGAGAGGCAATGTCGAATTTTACTTCATGTACTAGCACAAAAAAAATCCAACATCAAAGGGGTGAGGGTGGGTGGGGGGTAATTTCTATAAAGATTTTACTGCTTCTGTTAATGTGTCATAGGTCAAAAGGGAGGTAACTTCTATAAAGATTTAAATGCTGCTGTTGATGTGTCATAGGTAAAAAGGGTGGTAACTCTATAAAGATTTTAAATGCTGATGTGCATTTATTTTTATCCCTCTTTTATTTTTTGGTATGCTGTAGAATCCCTAGGGCTTTGATGTTATGTGATAAAGAGGGCAACTAGTCAATGTTACAACCTGTTTATGAACTTTGAATGCTTTAAAATGGGAGATAACTAATAAACATATATCAGATCTAAAGTGGGAGATAAGTTCTGTTAAGATTTTACTCCTATGATACATGTTTCAGATCTCTACTACATGTTTTATGTTTGTAAATATTGAACCAAAGACACCATTGTATGTTTATATCTATGATATCTTGCCATTGTACAGATAAGTAAATAATGTTAGCATGATATACAATGTAGTGGTATGCATTTAAAGTTGAATGTGTAAAGGCTACTGTGATGTTTTAAATAATACACATACATGTACATGTATACTGTTACATGAGTACATGAGCATGATGAGTTCCTCCTTTCTCACTAACGGTATGATCAATGTTTATGGTAACTTTTACAGGCCAGCTGATACAATCATATCTTTTACACTGTAAATGGGTTGTAGTTAAATATTTCATACATTGAAATTACAATGTTTATACTTTCAGCGTGTCTTTGCTGAAATTGATAATTGGTCCAACCACATGTATAACCTTGGCTTTCAAGAACAAAAACACACACACAAAATAAAAATCTAAACAAAACTGTTATCATTTAATTTTGTTTTTTAGAGGCATTGGACTTAGTGTGTGTGAAAGACTACTGACCTTACACAACAACCTTGAACTTTGTCTGCTATGTAGGAACATACATAGAGCAGAGGCTGCTAAGAATGCATTGTTAGTCTCACATCCAAAGTCTTCAATTAATATTGTTGTTATGGATACCAGTGATGTCAAATCTGTAATCAGAGCAGCCCATGATCTCAAACAGAGGTAAGGTTCCTTGATAACAAGTGTAATATAGATACAGTAATGTCAAATCTGTAATCAGAACAGCCCAAGATCTCAAACAGAGGTAAGGTTCTTTGATAACACATGTAATATAGATACAGTAATGTCAAATATGTAATCAGAGCAGCCCAAGAACTCAAACAGAGGTAAGGTTTCTTGATAACAAGTGTAATATAGATACCAGTAATGTCAAATCTGTAATCAGAGCAGCCCAAGATCTCAAACAGAGGTAAGGTTCCTTGATAGCATGTGTAATATAGATACCACTGATGTCAAATCTGTAATCAGAGCAGCCCAAGATCTCAAACAGAGGTAAGGTTCCTTGGTAACAAGTGTTATATAGATACAGTAATATCAAATCTGTAATCAGAGCAGCCCATGATCTCAAACAGAGGTAAGGTTCCTTGATAACAAGTGTAATATAGATACAGTAATGTCAAATCTGTAATCAGAGCAGCCCAAGATCTTAAACAGAGGTAAGGTTCCTTGATTACAATGTAAAATAGATACAGTAATGTCAAATCTGTAATCAGAGCAGCCCAAGATCTTAAACAGAGGTAAGGTCCCTTGATAACAATGTAATATAGATACAGTAATGTCAAATCTGTAATCAGAACAGCCCATGATCTCAAACAGAGGTAAGGTTTCTTTGAAAACAAGTGTAATATAGATACCTGTAATGTCAAATCTGTAATCAGAGCAGCCCATGATCTCAAACAGAGGTAAGGTTCCTTGATAACAAGTGTAATATAAATACAGTAATGTCAAATCTGTAATCAGAGCAGCACAAGATCTCAAATAGAGGTAAGGTTCCTTGATAACAAGTGTAATATGGATACAGTAATGTCAAATCTGTAATCAGAGCAGCCCATGATCTCAAACAGAGGTAAGGTTCCTTGATAACAAGTGTAATATAGATACCAGTAATGTCAAATCTGTAATCGGAGCAGCCCAAGATCTCAAACAGAGGTAAGGTTCCTTGATAGCAAGTGTAATATAGATACCAGTGATGTCAAATCTGTAATCAGAGCAGCACAAGATCTCAAATAGAGGTAAGGTTCCTTGATAACAAGTGTAATATGGATACAGTAATGTCAAATCTGTAATCAGAGCAGCCCATGATCTCAAACAGAGGTAAGGTTCCTTGATAACAAGTGTAATATAGATACCAGTAATGTCAAATCTGTAATCAAAGCGTCCCATTATCTCAAACAGAGGTAAGGTTCCTTGATAACAAGGGTAATATAGATACAGTTGTGTCAAATCTGTAATATTTTGAGGCCCTGCCCACTAGGTCATGGTTTTGTGACTGAATTTATTAACAATTTTCAATGGTAAGTTTTCTGCTTAAGATATTTTGATAGGAACTTCTTGAGATACTTCATTGATAGTTAATATAAAGTTGCATTACTATCAAAGAGCAGAAAACAGCCCAAGGCCACCAATGGGTCTTCAACACAGCGAGAAAATACTGCATCCGGAGGCTGGCTTCAGCTGGCCCGTAAACAATAATGTATACTAGTTCAGTATATGATTACATTAAATTAATTCTTGTTTGATTAATTATAGATATAAAGGAATAGACTATTTATATCTGAATGCTGGCATTATGCCTGTGACAGGAGTCAACTGGACAAACGTGGTCAAAGGAGTTCTATCGTAAGTAGTTTTAATGGAATTATATTGTAAGTAGTTTCTATTGAGTCACAGGAGCCAACTGTTACTCTTAGAGACAGAAGATCATTAAAAATAAGCAATGAATATCTTAATATGTTTAGCGCTAAGTAATAAAATTTAAACAGAACATTTCTACCACATGATCAATAGAATTATAGATGAATCTTGTACTTTTATATTTGTAAAGTTATGTATGATTAAAAGAAGATGCACACTTTTTATACGCCCGTCAATTTTTGACGGGACGTATTATGGTAATTAATGTCCGGTGTCCGTCTGTCTGTCTGTCTGTCTGTCCATCTGTCTGTCCGGCATAAACATGTCGCACCATAACATCAGAACGACTTATCCAAATTTTATGAAACTTAACATAGTTGTTTCTTATGATGGTCAAACGATCTGTATACTTTTTGGTGAAAATAAGATTAAAACTTTTTGAGTTATGGGACTTAGTAACTAAAACAGGTGTGTGTTTTTTTCACATGTTGCGCCGTATCTCAAAAACAATTTATGATTATTGCTTAAAACTTTACACACTTCTTAGTTATATTAATCTTAGGATCTGTAATCAGCAAGGGCACAGATCTAGAATATGCAGTACTACAAGCAAGAAATGAAAGATGTGGTGATGATTCAAAATTTTATTTTAGAGATATTGAGTATTTTGTTAAAAAAGGGGGAGGGGTTTTTCCACATGTCGCGCCATATCTCAAAACAGTTTATTCATTATTGCTTAAAACTTTACACACTTCTTAGATATATTAATCTTAAGATCTGTATACTTTTTGGTGATGATTCAAAATTTTATTTTTGAGTTATTGAGTATTTTGTAAAAAAAGGGGGAGGGGTTTTTCACATGTCGCGCCGTATCTCAAAAACTATTTATGATTATTGCTTACAATTTATCACACTTCTTAGTTATATTAATCTAAAGATCTGTATACTTTTTGGTTTTGATTCAAAAGTTTATTTTTGAGATATTGATTTTTTTTTTTTTTTTAAAGGGGGTTTTCACATGTCACGCCGTATCTCAAAAACGATTTATGATTATTGCTTAAAATTTTACACTCTTCTTAGTTATATTAATCTAAAGATCTGTATACTTTTTGGTCTTGATTCAAAATTTTATTTTAGAGATATTGTGTTTTTTGTAAAAAAAGGGGGTTTTCGCATGTCAGGCCGTATGTCAGAAACTATTTATGACTATTGAATAACAATTCACACACAAGATGACGGGCGTATCATGCGCTCATGGCGCAGCTGTTTATTCTAAATGTTATTGATGCTTTTGGATGAGAACTTATTGATCAAAGGGTAGATATATATTATTTTTATTTATTCTGATAAAACTCATAAACATAATAAAATAAGATTTTTAGAACATTTTTGCAAACAACTTTTAATACTATTTTCCTGCAATTAACATTATGAAACCAAACACAAATCTAAGGTTTAGATTTTAATGCATCTTGATTATACAGTAACCTGTATAAGGAAAGACAGAATTTTACATGTTGATTATTTTTTATATTGACAGGAATTGTGCCCATGTTTTGTCAACAGGAGAAGGTTGTTTATACCACACAGATGAAACTACAAAAGATGGACTGAAGAATATATTTGCTTCAAACATATTTGGACACTATACCTTAGTGAGTTATGGTAGTTTGTTTCCACGCTAAAACATCCATGATATTCATCAACATAGACATATTATTTAACAAGAAATGCAGCTTTTTTTTAATATATTTATATACTTTTTTTTACATCTTTCTGCTTCCCCTTCAAACAAAATGGCAAAGGCATATAGCTTTACCAATGTCTGTTCCGAGAAAAGCTGGATCTTGTGCAATGCTTAAATATAAGTATTGACAGGATGTAGTTTTTGTCTCGCCTTGACGGAGTCAAAAAGCGAGACAAAGGTATGCTGTTTCCGGCGTCGTCGGCAGCGACAGTGGCGGCGGCGTCAAACAATGTATTAGTTTGTGATTAGGTCTAGTTCATGGTGAACCACTAGTGGTAGGTCAATGATATTTGGTATGCAGTTGTATTAGCATTGGCACATCTCATTACCATGGAGATTATTTGGCCCCGCCCCCTCAGTCAAGGTCTATTGACTTTGAAACTTTTCATAGTTAACATGTATTAGTTTGTGATTAGGTCAATTTATGGGAAACCACTAGTAGTAGGTCAATGATATTTGGTATCCAGTTGTATAAACATTGGCATATCTTATTTCCATGGAGATTATTTGGCTCCGCCCCCTTAGTCATGGTCTATAGACTTTGAAAATTTTGCTAAGTTTACATGTATTAGTTTGTGATAAGGTCAGTTCAAGAGGAACCATTAGTGGTAGGCCAATGTTAATTGGTGTTCAGTTGTATAAGCATTAGCACATCTCATTTCCATGGTGAATATTTGGCCCACCCCCTCAGTCATGGTCTATTTACTTTGAAACTTTTGCTTACTTTACATGTATTAGTTTGTGATTAGATCAGTTTAAGATGAACTGCTTATGTTAAGTCAATGATATTTGGTATGCAAATTTATTGGCATTTGCAAGTATCGTTTCCATGGAGATTATATAACCCCCACCCCTGATCATGGTTCATTGACTTTGAAACTTTTACATAGTTTACAAGTTAATGTTTGTGTTTAGGTTTGTTTAAAGGGAACGACTTATAATAAGTCAATGGTATTTGGTATGCAGTTGAATTAGCATTGGCACATCTAATTCCATGGAGATTGTTTAGCCATGTACCTTCAGTCACTTACATGTTAAAGTATTGCTATTTTAATTTCAACATTTGCATTATCAAAATTACAAAAAGGCGAGACATCTCTGTGATAACAGTTTATTATTTAGTTATACTTACCTTAAATATATTAACATTTGTACCTTATAGATAAAAGAGCTTGAAGATAGACTTGGAGGAGAAAAAGATACACAGATCATCTGGACATCTTCCAGGGCAGCCATGAAATCTGCCTTTGATATAACAGATATTCAGCATAAACATGGGTATGCATTTCCTTGCCCAAGAAATAGAATATATTCAGCATAAACATGGGTGTGTGTTTCCTTGCCCCAGAAATAGAATATATTTAGCATAAACATGGATATGCATTTCCTTGCCCAAGAAATAGAATATATTCAGCATAATTATGGGTGGGTGTTTCTTTGCCCCAGAAATAGAATATGTTCACAGTGCATTCATTAATACCCGGTACCCGGTACTTTTACCCGCCTACGGAAGCGTCTGGTACAGGCAGAAAAAATAAAAATACAAAAAAAAAAATGTGTAAAATGAAGATCGTTCAAATCTAATTTCTTTCATTCCTTGACAATCTCCGTTCTACGCCGTTCATGTGTATGTTTATAGGTGTCTTCGTCGAGGTCCGCGTTAAAGTATAGATCTATCTTCTGCCAATTTAGGCACACCTCCAAAGTAGGAGAAGTGATAATTACAAACCATGTGTCTGTATCTGTATCGTAAGAGCGCTTTAAAATGCGACGATTTAGCAGTATATTTTCAAGCGGCAAATTGTTGATGAATTTAAACAACAACAGCAATATTATGTCTAATAAAAGGAAAGCAGCTTGTATCACAGATTATTTTATGAATAAAAGGTTTAATAAAGGTGAACATTCTATGAAATTCAGAAAAATTGTTAATCGTATCAAATCAGTTCCTTTCCCGTTGGACGTTGTCACTGATCTCCGTTTTCACGATATGTGTTCTATGTTGTGATTGAATTTTTTAGTGTAAGACATCGTGAAACATTTTACAATCTGAACTAACATAACTGTTACGTTTACAAAATATAACATCTGACGAGATTTAAGACTTCTAAAATTAAAAAAAAAGACAGCTAAGAAGAAGTGAAATTTTTTTTTTTTTTACTTACTATAGTCAAGAATCCTATGATTAATTTGCCCCCCCCCCCCTCCCCCCCATTTCACAATCACCCCTTTTTATGAATATTAAAGTTAAGTGAAAGTTGAATACATGTTGTTTTTTTTCGGACAAGAACAACCATCACAACACTTAGCATATATCAAAAACGTTTGTTTGTTGTTTTGCATGAGAGCATGTTTATTGTTTATTTTGTTTAATTGTTTGCATGACACTGTTAAATTACTTACACAAACAATTGACACAGTTATGATTATAACAAAGCAATAAAAAAAAAGTTACAACAAGTTTTATTATCAATTTTTTTTAATAATATACTATGTAACTTATGAAATTTCATTCACAAAATTGAACAAATGCAAAACATTTAATAAAAGTATAAAAACAAACAAAACATTTAAACAACATTTCACATGAAACCCCTGCGTTATAGGTCATACCATTGAAGTATTATATTGACAATATAATACTTCCATGGTCATACATATTTTATAACTGATTACAAAATAATTATAAGCAATGTATTTTCAGATGATTACTCTAGCATGTCTAGAAAAAAAACAATTCAATGTTAACTTACCCAAAATTGAAGCAAATATTACAGACTTTACCCTATTTTTTTAAGCAAAAAATTAAGGTTGAAATCCCTAAAATCCATGAGCTTCCGGGGGGCTTTGCCCCCCTGGTCCCCCTACCAGGGCTAGCCCTGGACCCACTGGGGGCCTTAAGCGGCCCCCAGACCCCTTGCCGTTTAAGTTTGGTTCCCCCTGTAATCTCAAAGGTACCTCCAGTCTAAAAAAATAATGAAACCCCTGTGTTCAGCATAAACATGGGTAGGTGTTTCCTTGCCCCAGAAAAAGAATATGTTCAGCATAAACATGGGTAGATGTTTCCTTGCCCCAGAAATAGAATATATTTTGCATAAATATGGGTAGGTGTTTCCTTGCCCCAGAAAAAGAATATGTTCAGCATAAACATGGGTAGATGTTTCCTTGTCCCAGAAATAGAATATATTCTGCATAAACATGGGTAGGTGTTTCCTTGCCCTAGAATGAGAATATGTTTTGCATACTAACATAATATACATGGTTTCCTTGCACTTCACATTCACCATAACAGAAAAAAAGATATTTATTCATTGCTTTAAAACTGTTTACATGATATACTTCCAAGTCTTGTTATCTCAGTATTTGTGTCTGTCTGACAAAGAGAAATATGCTGTCTCTTCAATAATAAATATTTTATTCCTGATGTTTATATTTTCAGAGAAAACCCCTATTCCTCCTCTAAGTATGTGATAGATACTGTTAGTGTGTCACTCAATAATAAACTCAATAAAAAGGTAAGTTATACTATATGTGGGAGATTTTCTTTGGATGTTTGAGAAGTTCTTGTTATGCTCTGTTGTCATTTCTATATTAGGGTTCTCAGAAATCTAATTAAAATGAGTCCATGTGTCCTGAACTCATAACTGATGAGTACAAAATACTTCAACATTGTTATCAGCTGAGTCCAGTCATCATTTTATTAAAAAAGTTGAAGAAATGTATCTCAATTTAACTCTTTCATCATTTTATTTTGTATTAAAGAAGACTTAAAAATAATGAATATGAAACCTATTGTGGTAATGATGTCTCTCAAAAGATTTTTTTCTTCGAACTGGTTCTGTTATACTTATTTTTTTTATTTTTTCATTTGTTTTTTATGTTGAAAAAGACAAAAATTAATAAACAACAAAGCATTATGAAGTACCGTAATGATTATTTTCTTTTAGAGAGTATATTCCCACACAACATGTCCTGGATTAGTGATGTCTAATTTGACAAATGGAGTTTTACCATATTGGATATGGAGTATATTGTATCCACTTCTGATTATGGTTAGTAAATTTCCACACAAAATGTCCTGGTTTAATGATAATAATGTCTTATTGTAGTGAGTATATTCTTTCACAACAAGTCCTGTTTAGTGATGACAGTTATGACAAATGGAGTTTTACAACAATGGTATTCAGAACATATTGTATCCACTATTTACCAATTATAACTTTCAGTATAGCTATAAAATCACTGCTACTTTAATATGCAGTCATTTTTCAGTGTGACTAGCCAGCGTTATCTTATTTAATTCTATACTATGTATCTTTTTCTCGACTTATGATGACTATCAAGATAATAAGAAAACTTTTTCCAAAATTTCAAAGTTACTTAAGGTCTTCATAAATGAGCAAATGCAAAGATTTTAACAATCTAAATTTAGATATACCATACAAAAAAGGAGAAGAAAACCCTCAAAAAATAATTCATCTAGTGGATAAAAAAAGATTATGATTAAATTATAATAAGCATTGTTTTCATATCCCAAAAAAGACCTTGTTAAAAGTGGTCTAAGTAGTGTACCTACAGTTATCACTAGTCTGTCAACACAGACACAGGCACTTGTCTCTGAAAAAAAAATCCTAAATACCTTAATATAACACAAGGTACTTAACTCACATTTTTAAAAAATGTCACCCGGTCGCAAACTTCTGTTATATTTTCGATTTCTCGGATGTCAACCCCACTAAAACTTGTTATGCCGTAAATCTCTATTGATTTATCTACACAATGGTGTATAACATGTCTACCTTTGTTGTCGGAATCAGTCGAACACAGAGGTGAGTTTGAACCTCGCTTGCTTCAGCTGTGTTTAACTCCTATCTTAATTGACTAGGATTTCCGGTTTCCCTGCTGTAGGTCAATGGTTCTTTGCAAGTATTCAGGCTTCCTCCACCAATAAAAAATTGACCACTACAAAATTGCCAAGAGTATTGAAAGTGGTGTTAAACACCAACAATCAATCAATCATATCCCATTACAGATATATTTGTGATGGCTCTAAATTCACTGCTGCGAAACTAAAGGATAGAATTTTCAGTATAAAGACACACGCACTGTTATCAGGTACTGAAAGTAAGAGATATCAAAGCTTCACAGTATGAGCAAAACTATTAGGACTATCAAAATTTTCATCTTCGTTATTAATATTATGATAATCTCATCGGCTGTTTTCTGCTCTTTGGTCGGGTTGTTGTCTCTTTGACATATTCCCCATTTCCATTCTCAATTTTATCAATACAAGGAACAATTTCTGTTTTACCAAAATTTGGACTGTAACAATTGGTTATTCATATATATTCATTATAAACTTCCCATCACTAGTTTTCTAGTTTTTAAATGCTTCAAATAATTAGATTTTATATTTTTTTAGCTGCGGTTATTTTGCCCTAGTTTAACTTGTTCATCTTACAATGGGAGTGAAGCAATGGTAAGTAAACTTTAGTAAACTTGTTTATTAGATTTAAAGGTGACAAGACTGTTGTGTGTAGCATACAAAACCTTTTAATTCAGTATAAAAATAAGAAGATGTGGTTTGATTGCAAATGAGACAACTTTCCACCAGAGACCAAAGGACGAATAAGTTAGCAACTATAGACATTCAACAATGAGCAAAACCCATACCACTTAGTAAGCTATAAAAGGCCCCAAAATGACAAATGCAAAACAATTCAAACAAGAAAACTGACTGCCTGATTTATGTACAAAACAATAAAGGAAAAACAAATATGACATGCAGCAACAAACTACAAACACTGAATTACAGGCTTCTGACTTGGGACAGGCACAGAAAGAAAGTAAAATTCTTTTGTAAAAGCCTTGTTTAACGAGTTCTCACTCAGAAGTGTGAATTTTATTCCCATAGTCCTACCAATAGGAGTTTTTGTTTCATGTAACACTTCTAACCATAATAAGCATGTGATATTACTATTGAAACATTCATTTATCTTGGTGTAAGGATGCATTTAAGGTAGTATAGCAGCATCACAAAAATGCAGGTCAGTCTGACCTATATTTTATGCTTTTATCATAAATTGAATGAAAAGCGGTGCTTAAAAGTGGCGTTAAAACACCAAAAATCAAAAAATCAAATTAAATTGAATGATGTCCAAGTCTATATCTCACATACTTTGTGACCTACATTTCAGTACTTTTTTCATACTGAAGATAAGATTTCCCCAATGGTTGTTTTATTTATTATATGGGATTGGTTTAGCCTCTTTGGTGATGAGATGTACCTTTTTATCATAGATTACTTATGTTTAGGTCTGGTTATCAACACAGAATCCACAGTCGTTGAAGCCTCAGGACAAATTTAACAGTGATGTAGATATCTTTGGGAAAACCCATGTATCAACAGTTAAGGTGATTTACCATACAAAAGAAAGTTGAAACATTTCAGTGTGTGCACTCTTGTTTTGTTGATTGATCCTTGTTTGCATTATTTATCTAGTGGCAAATATTTTTTTTATTCAAAAACATTTTTTTCCAAAATAAGTAATGTATTGCATTACCAGACTGCATGGATGTGGACTTTTAAACCTTAAGATCTACTAGATTTCAAAAACCTGAAAAAAGACAAAGCTTTTATTCAAAATCTAAATGTCACTATATGTAGCAATATAGTAATGCTGCAAATGTCTTTTGACTTGTACTTGACAGTAAGTTAGATTGCAATTTATCTGAATACTGAAATCTTTCTTCAAAAAAAGTAAAACCCTTGTTGATTATCACAGTAATCATTTCAAAATTAGTGTCATACAAAATCATTCTACTAAAAGGGAATCAAGACTGAAAACAAATGAATTACTATTAGAAAGCATTTTGTGTTTGTACCAGCTGACACAGCAGCAAACAAAATGTTGCCAAATCTCAGTCTTTATCACACCATTTTCATTCTTTTAATAGTTAGACATAGATACAAAGACAGAAGAAACAGTATGCAATACATTAGATGAACTGTACAAAGAATTCAAAACCAAATACTGTTGATGTCAGCTTCAAGATTAGATAAAGATTAATAAAACCAACTTTCTTCAAAACCAAATGAATTCTGGGAGATAATAATCTGTGATATTATACATTGTGAACAAATTTTTAGTTATTATTATTACAAACTTTCTTTTATTGTCATTGTTATGTTTAGATTGTTAACCTTATGAATAACACATTTGACTGGATTATTTACACATTTAATTGAGTATTATACACAATTTTATATCTGCATTTTATTCTGGTTGAATTTTAGTAAAGTTGTACAAAAAAAACAATTTTGCAATATATGAAAAAAACTAAACCATCATTTGTTCTAAAATGGAGGTAAAAAACGGACTATCCTGGAAAATTGTCACTGTAAGACAAACTAGTTTTATTCATATTGATCAATCTACACTTTCTTATAAATTCTAGTTACTTTTAAAAAAAAATTGTATTTGCCGTAACATTCTATATCTTGTTCTGAAAAGAAAAATAGCTTCTTGAGAATTTCCATAGGCAAGCAAAATAAAAGTTCAGACTTTCAGGCAAAAGCTGTCTATGTCCAATACTTTCTGTGATAACAGACCATTTAGATAAATTGTCTTTAATCATGTGCCAAATCAACATTTGTAATATTTTATCCTATTTTGATCCTGAGGTAAATAAATGCTCACTGAGTTACTATGTGCAAAAGAAAAGATATTTTAGTAGATTAAATTTTTTGTGTATTTGTTTGTTTATTTGTAATGTGAAAACTTGTGTTTTTTAGATGTAAAGTGAAATGAAAATTTTATATTGTATATTTATCACATATATGGATATATGATTTGTTGATAATTTTGTTTAATAAAGTAAGTTTACTGTCTTTTTGTTATTTATGTCTGACTGCAAGTGAAGATATCAGAGCACTTTCTGTACTGTGCATCTCCTCCATTCTGCTACCAATAAATGTCTAGTCTATGTAAATAGGGAAAGATTTCATACAGGTCTGATAGTCATACAAGGATGAAAAGAGAAGTCAGATTTTTCATAAAATTCGACAGTCAATTGACCAAAAATCAATAACTTGAATGATACCATAATTTGTGACATTTAGAACCTGCTAATTATATGCCTTTCTGAAAATGCAACTATATGTATGTCATGTTGACGTAATTTGACTGTGACATCATTGGAGTGACATTATTTTAGCACAATTGTCCCATAATGTCTATAGTGATCATTTTTGCAAAATTTATATAGAACCAATCTGATTAAAATCAGAACTTTCCCTCTGCTCCACAATAGTTGTGGCATGTATGATTTGAATGATCCCATAAGGAGTGATAGGTGTTAAAGACTATAGTGACCCATCCACATGTTGTTTGGTGTGTAAGTTATGTACAAGGAGGCTAAATTATGTACAATAAGGCATGTTAAGAAATAAAGGTATAGATCATTTTTATGCCCCCGCCGTACCGGAGTGGGCATTAAGTTTTACCCTTGTCCGTATGTACGTCCGTCCATCCTTACATCCCACAAATTGGTTTCCGTTCTCTAACTTTAGTTTGCCTCAACTCAATGTTATGAAACTTATACACAATGCTTATTACCACAAAACACAGATCAAGTTTGCATTTTGGTGGCATCACTTTTACTGTTCTAGAGTTATGCCCCTTTACAAATGGAACTAGATGTGTCAGAACGACACGAATGGGGCCGTCTCAAAAAGATGAAAAATCTGCAATTTCAACAACACATGTGGACACAAACATACATGGATAGTATCCAGCTCTCAAGACCAATACTAGTTTGATGAAAAATTTCCTTGATCAATGAGTAGTTAAATTTCAAACTATCAGCAAATAAGAAGTGGATGTACTGGAGATGTGTTGAAATGACATGAAAATCAGCATATCGGAACAATACATAAACTTGATCTGTAACTCATCATGGTAGACTCACATATCAAAAATCAGCGCAAAATCTGAAGGCATATAGAAAAAAAGTCTGTATAACTGTGATTTCAACAATTTATCAAAGTCCAAAGCCCGTAATTTCGCGTAAAATTAGCAGAGCGGAACGAAACTTAAACTTGAATTGTAACTCATCATGGTTAACTCACATACCAAAAGTCCAAAACCCGTAGTTACGGCAAAAATCAGCAGAGCAGAACGAAACTTAAACTCAATCTGTAACTCATCATGGTTAACTCACATACCAAAAATCAGCCCAATATCTAAAGGTGTTCAGAAAAAAAGTCTGTATAACTGTGATTTTCAACAATTTATCAAAGTCTAAAGACTGTAATTTTGGCAAAAATTAGCATAGCGCAACGAAGCTTAAACTTAATCTGTAACTCATCATGGTTAACTCACATACCAAAAATCAGCCCAATATCTGAAGGCATTTAGAAAAAAAACCTGTATAACTGTGATTTTCAACAATTTATCAAAGTCTAAAGCCTGTAATTTCGGCAAAAATTAGCAGAGTGGAACAAAACTTAAACTTAATCTGTAACTCATCATGGTTAACTCACATACCAAAAATCAGACCAATATCTGAAGGCATTTCGAAAAAAAGTCTGTATAACTGTGGTTTCAACAATTTATCAAAGTCCACACTACAAAAGTCAAAAAGTCTGAACAGACCAGTTTTGTCTGAATTTGCATGAATTTTTACTCGACATTCTTAATTTGTCTGAATATTTTTTTTAAATTCTTGACATAGTATGAATTTGTCTAATAAGGTTCTTGATTTTTCTTGACAAGTGTCTTGACAGTATGAAAATTGTCTTAAAATTTCTCGACACTTCCTGTATCATCTGATAAGAGTCTGGATTAGTCTCGACCAATTTTTGACTGTCTTAAATTTGTCTCGATCTGTCTTGACATATTCTTGACGTTCTTAATAATGTCTGAATATGTCTCGACATATTCTTGACATTCTAAATAATGTCTGAATATGTCTCGACACATTCTTGACAGTCTTAAATATGTCTTGACACTATCTCAACAGTATAAATTTCGCCTGAAATGTGAACAGACTTATTCTGCACTGTTTATGACATTCTATTGCTGCTATATACTCCTTTTTATTATGGCTAAACTAAACTTTGAAGAATCAAGGATTAATTTGGTATAGTAAGATACCCTTTTGGTGCAACTAAGTTGGAATACCCTGAATAATCCCCCATGTAGTTTAATTTTGATTTATTTTTATTAAACATTTAAGTAATTGTTTTCACTTGGAATATAAGTCGAAGGTATTGACAAACAGCATTTAGATTTTTGCCGTTCGCAAAACTGCCAGTCAAATTTGCTTTACTAAAATTGGTGTCTTGTATCTCTTTTGGACCCAACAATTCATCTTTTGGGTTTGTGTGGATAAAAAAAGAGGGGGGGGGGGGGGCTTTCATTTAGGTCAAAGAATTTGTTCCCATCTTGATTCAAAAACCTTATTCATTTTTTAGAACAACCCAAAAACATTTTTATTCAAATTTGAGTGTTGAATTTTATAATTTTTTATCAAAAATAAATATTTGTGATAACTCCTTCCTGAAAAGAAAAAAATGTTTAGATCTATATTATGCATGTCTGTTTGAGAACCATTTCATAAGACCGATGATTTCTATACAAATCATTGATGGGACCCATTATAAATACATTTTTTTTATTATTCCTGGAGTAGATAATAATTTTCTTTTAATCTTTGGGAATAATTCCATTTGTTTTTATGTTAAAATAATTAACTTCATAATTTTGATGAAGAAAATCCATTTCAATTCAATTTTTTTTCATCAAAATGATGATTTTCATTTTCATCTATCAACAAACTTTTTAAATTGTAGTGGCATGGTCGGTCAACTGATAAGTTGTATGGCTGATTACAGGTAAAGCAATAACTTCTATTTGACAGTTGTGTGTAGTCTGGGGTGTGGAATACCTTAATTTTATGCAGAACATCCTGTCCATGTGTAATACCTGGGAACAGTATATCTAGTCAATATATATGTTCCTGGTAATACTTAATATATTCCAACAGATGACATTACACAAATTTTTCTTCTGTTAAATGAATGATTTGTATATCATCATAATTTGCTATTTATATAAACCACATTTTTCGTATAATAATTATTTACCATATCAACATTGAATATTATGAATGTAGAATGAAATATGTCTACAGTATGATTGGTTTGAATCATTTAATTTATAAGATTTAGGAATCAAAATTTGTAATTATTTAAAAACCCACATTGAAATTGTTTTATATCAACACACCCACATTTGAATTATTTTATACTTTAGATTTCATAGCCATATTTGCATTTGTAAAAATATTTATATACCCAAATTTTCAATTATTTTACATGCCCAACTTTTATTTTTGTTGTAAAGAAGTGTAACTTGAAACAACAGTATATCATATAAAGAGAAATAAAGATTAAAGATATATCATGAATATTGGTCATGATTTGTAAAACTCAGAACTGTCAAGTAAATTTAAGACACGATTCAAAATGTTCAGAATATGTCGAGCCATACTGAGAAAAAATAAGAATGTTGAGAATATGTTGAGAAATTTCAAGACAGTATTCAAATGTCAAGAATTTGTCAAGAAATTTTAAGACCACATTCAGAATGTCGAGAAAATTTCATACAAATTTAATATAAATGAGAATTTGTCAAGAAAAATTAAGACACAAGTCATACTTTTGGAGAATGACGAGTAAAAGTTCATGCAAATTAAGACAAAAACTGGTCTTTTCAGACTTTTAGACTTTTGTAGTGCCAAAGTCTGTAATTTCGGCAAAAATTAGCCGAGCGGAACAAAACTTAAACTTGATCTGTAACTCATCATGGTTAACTCACATACCAAAAATTCAGCCCAATATCTGAAGGCATTTAGAAAAAAAAGTCTGTATAATGGTTTATTGCGGAATGACCGAATGACGGACAAGGGTAAAACTATATGGCCCCGACAACTTTGTTGCGGTTGCGGGGCATTAAAAATTGCTAAATTTTTCGTTTCCGTTCTCTAACTTAAGTTTGCTTCGCCCAAATGTTATGAAACTTATACACAATGCTTATTACTACAAAATTCAGATCAAGTATGAATTTGGGTAGCATCACTTTTACCTTTCTAGAGTTATGTCCCTTTAAAAATGGAAAAATTGCTGAATTTTTGTTTCTGTTCTCTAATTTTACTTTGCCTCAACCAAATTTTATGAATCTTATATACAATGCTTATTACCACAAAACACAGATCAAGTATGAATTTGGGTAGTGTCACTTTTACCGTTCTTGAGTAATGTCCCTTTATAACGTTATATGCAAGCGGGGGCATCATCTGTGTCCCATGGACACATTCTCCATTTATTGTAATATGGTATAACAAAGCAAACTTTTACTTTATGTTCAAAATGCTTAGGTTTTACTAGTAACTAATATTTATGAAAATGTCACTGACTGCTGTTTTGTCAAAAGGTATGACATGTATGATCATTCGACAATTTAATGAAAACAGAGATCTCAATTCAATATCCACATCCTTGATCTCGACAAAAGACTGATTTTATAAGTAATGTTATTTCACTGTAAGGGTGAATAGAGTTTACAATTTAATGTTGTGTATACTCAATGATTAACAGTATATTATGTATGAAATGTTTAAAATGAGTGAGCAATGAATCTTGAAAATCTTGAAATATGCAGGGAAATTTACGAAGTTCAAATGATAGCTATGTCTGAAAATTAAAAACACTTGAAAAAAAACTGATATACTGTATACAATTGTTGTTGTTAAAGACTAGAGACCCATACATCTGTTGTTTGGTGGCTGTCTTGTTGTTAAAGACTAGAGATCCAAACATGTGTTGTT